AATTATTTATACAAAGTAGAAAAACATCATGAGATAAGACTGAGAGTTCCTTTACTATGCTAGAAATCTGTAGCTTTCAGATTTCTATGCTAGAGAAGAGAATTAAACAGTCTCTCACATTCTCAGTTTGTGTTCTAACCACTAACAGATAAAATAGGACAGCCTCTGTATCACTGTTGCAAATCTAGCTCTTCATTTCCGTTTTTTTTTCATGCAACTGCCTGAAAATGAATGTTTAGTTTCAGATTGATTGGGGGTTTCAGTTCAGGCACACAAAAGAGTTTCATGTTAGTAAGAAAAAGTAAAACATTTGAAATTGATTTTATCGCAATCTGGGTGCATCTAAATGTTCATTAGTGTGCCATAGTTACTGCACATTAAGTTTACTACTTGTATAATCAAGTACTAAATCAATATGTAGTGAGTGGTGTTACTGCACAGTAGCACCAACGCACATCTTTTTAGTGATGCTACTGTGCAGTAGCCTAATAATACTGTGCAGTAGCATAGTAGTACTGTTTCTGCTGTGACATGCTACTGTGCAGTATTATTAGGCTACTGCACATATAGCATCTTGTGTACATGTACACTTTGTTCTTTCTTTTTTTTTAACATTCCCCATCTCCAGAATCAATTCCTTGCTGAGTCTGCTTTAAATTGTGGAATATCTTATCTGTGTCATTCACTGCATTGATTTTTATTATTATTGTTGACCTGTTGATGAATCCAGTATTCCAGTTGACATCTAATATTGTCACCTATTCCAGTCAAAACCTGTAAAGGCCGTTGTTTTGAGAGGACATTTGGAAGCTGCCGCTGTGATGCTGATTGTGCCAAACTTGGAAATTGCTGCTTAGATTTTCAGGAGACATGTATAAAGCCAGGTAAGGATAAAGAGTTTTTGGAGGTAGAGGGGCATAATTACACTACTACAGTATGAGGCAACTCCACTATTGGGCAGACAGATCACCAGAAGCTACTGGCATCTTTTGCACCCTGTTTCCTAGACCTGATCTGAGTAGGAAAGTGGTTTAAAAGCAGGTGATTTGTCTGTGTTATTGCTACCACCATTGCTACTATTTGTGGACTGCAGTGATTACTACTTATAGTGGCTCCTGACAACCCAAAGCAGGTATAGGGACCCTATTGTGGTAGTCACTGGGTGCATCTATATGAGATGTTTACTGCACAGTTGACTAATTATCTGTACCCTAAACATCTTGACGTCTATGCGTGCACCCCTATTAGGTTGAAGTAAACTAATTTTCATAGCAGGATAGTACTTGTATTTCCAAGTGAAATGTATTTACAAGTTCTATTCTGCTGGGGAGTAAAAAACTGCAGCAGCATACGTGTTGATGCTGCCCAGCTGCCCAGAGCACGAGGGTGCTTTAGTGCAGGGACTGCCTGTTGGCTAGCCCTGCACTGAAGCTCCCTCATGCCCCAACCAGCCCCTCAGCAGCACACTGATCTGAGGGTAGCAGTCCCAGGTTGGCAGGCTGACCCCTGGAGCCCTTTGCCAGCCAGGGCTGCTCCACCTGGGCTCTACATGCTGCATCTGAATAAACTGTGGAGCTTATTGCTCCAGAGTTAATTGCTCATCGTGCACATTCAAACGGTACACCCGGGAGCAATTAACTCCAGATCAACACGCTCCGCAGTTTGCACTGTAAGTGCTTGTGTAGACATGCATTGTACAGACAAATAACAAGCTTGTTCTTGCTCCAGTTGGCTTGCAATCCTAGCTGTATGATCATGGCTCTCTCACAAATCTTCTGCATGCATGTGGAGGCATTGTGTTGTTGGTCTGGCTTTTCACCTGGCCCAGGAAGCAGAATGTATGTCTACATTGCTGCTGTGGTGCTCTTGAGGATATCTTCAGCAATCAGGCCCCAGGCATCTGTGCCTATTTCTCATGTGCAGAACCTGGAAATGAGCCTGTGAAGCCCTCTTCTTATCCAAATCTTCTTATCTTCTGCCGTCTTCTTATCCAAATCTTCTTATCTTCTGCCCTCTTCTTATCCAAATGAATATAAGATTCACAGACGCTGGTCCCCTTCATCATCACAGCTTCTCAGTTTTTACGTTCCATTTCTCCTCTGCTTGAATACACAGCAGAGGCTATATTCTGACTCAGGCTGTCAGATTGACTGTTCTGTCACATTGCCACAGCCTATGTGGGAGGAAAGTAGAAGAATGGGATAACAAGAGGAACAGAATTTAGCAGAAAATCTACAGTCACTTATCCCCACTTATTGTTATTTTCAGAAAAAACAATAGTGTTTAGATTCATGCACTGAAGGTGTTGCTCTCTATTTCAGTATTTAATCTTTAAGTAAAACATCCACAAATCAATGGCTTTAAAACCAGACAGTTCAACTGAGTTCAAACTGCTTCTGCAGAGAGCTTTAAAACACTTTCTAAACTGCATTTATCTTACGCATTTCTGATTGTTATTGTAAGCTTATATAAATTAATTCCCCATGCCTGCACCCCACTCATTAGCTTACTTGAATTACTTTAGTTAAGTGAGGACCAGAAAAATGTTTTTTGCCATTAATTCCATAGGTCTAAATTGTAGTCTCCTTCTCATGAATGCAAGTTTAGAATTGGGCGAATTATTCCAGACGTATACCACTGACTGTGAGACGAGAATCCAGTCCATAATTATCAACCTCCTAACGACTTTGTTGGAGCAGGAAGGGGAAATTGCTACTCTTATTAATGATATGAGAATAGCTAACAATGTCTTTACACAGAGATAGTCTTTGCCTCTTCCACAGCTAATGCCTTTACCAAGCAAATGTACTCTAGTGAAATATCACATATTTAATCCCATTGACTTCAAGATGTCTGCTTGAGTTTACAGTTAAGCATATGTATCCAATATTTATTGAAGGCGTGTCTTCAAATGATATTGTGCATAGAAGTATTGTGTTGTAAAATAGCAGTATGTTCTCTGATTTATGGAAATAACTTTACTGAAGTCAGAGATTCAGCTAATGTCAGTAGGCCATAAGATTGAACTTGTGTACTATCTCAAATATCAATGGAAATAAGTATATGCTTATTAAGTGTTCCTTGAATCAAGGCTAGAATCAATGGTAACATTTTTCTGAGTAACTTAAATGGGAGCCAAGCTAGCTTTATAGTTTATTGTTTTTGTCTAAGTATTTCAGCCATGGGTTTTCGTTTACTTTCTTTTCATTTTTTAAAATTATATTTACTAGATTAAATGAGCTTGCTATGAAAGATAAACATGTCACATTTAAAGAATCCATTAAAGGAGTCTTCTGTTGTTTTTTACTGGTCTGTGATAGATAACCACATGCTGAGTAATTGTATGCAGATGTCCATGCATCTGGGTTATTATTTAGATATGGGTGTTATTGCTTTCTGAAAGGCCCAAATCTGCTGTTTTTCTGCATGTGAGAGACACTTCAAAACTCTTTGCATATTCATTGGGGAACATAATTTAATCCTACATTTCTCAATTACTTATGTATTTAACCTAGAAATAAAATGGTACTCTCTCTGCATTTAATTTTTCGTTGTAGCTCAAATATGGACCTGCAATAAATTCCGGTGTGGAGAAAAAAGGCGACCAGAGTATCATTGCTCCTGTTCAGATGATTGTGTGGAAAATGATGATTGTTGCTTCAATTACTATGCTGTTTGCCAAGGTAAACACCCATTCTGCCAACTTCTTAATGCATAGAATTTGCTTGTCTGAAGGAGAGAACATAAAAGTTATGTCACGATATTAATTATAAATATTCTAGGTCCTAACAATGCCTAGGCCCTAACAATGCAATGCTTAACTGAAATAATTATAGCAGTTATTAATGGCTGAGTTGCTAATGGTTGAGTTATTAATTATAGCAGTTATTAATGGTTGAGCAGTTATTAAAAGTTGGTCTGGCCAACTTTTTATTATTCGCTGCTAAGTTCTTGCTATTAAAATTACAGTAAGTAATAGTAAGCCACCTGATAAATCCTCACCTCATTCTGATGTTGTGAAGGCTGAATACGATTTTTTAAAACATAAATAACCATAGAACCGATACACTTAATTTAATATGAAAGCTATATTATATTCCTTTGGACTAATTAACCTTGAACAGCAAATAGAAAACATTAAATCATTTGAACTAATTGAGAAGGAATATATCAATCTCTGGAAAATAATCTATGCTCTTGTGTTTTAAGGAGAAAAAAGTTGGGTGGAAGAAAAATGTGAGAACATTAATGAATCCCAGTGTCCAGCAGGGTAAGGATATTCTCTTTGTTTTAGAGTTCAAATTTAATTTTTTTTAAAGTTAACATTTATCTTGGTGAAAAATTCCCATATCATCAGGAATCTTTGAATAACAATGATCATTTATTATAATTTTACAACTTCCAAATGTCTTCCAATAACATTACAAATATAGATATTTCCAAAAGTTTTCCCTTGATAAAGGGTTTGGTGTACAAGAACCATTTATTTGCCACCTTCCTTAACTACTGAATGTTACAAAGTGAATACCTTCTATTTCCATCTCACCAAATATGATTTAAGGTAATACAGTCTTCATTATGGTAAAATGATAGACATTCCGTACTCATAAACTAAAAATAATTATGCCTTATGGGTCCAGTTTGGTTTCCATTTAAGTCAATAGAAGTTTTGATCTTCATTTCATCTAGAGAAGAATTTCCTATCCAAGAGCCAGCCAAGGGTCTGATGCACAAATATCTAATCCCATCATGGGCAACACAACACCCAGAAAAAATGTCCATTTTTTGTCTCAGGTTCTCTCAGGCCACATCTCCCTAGAATTGCTCTAGTGGGGCTGTGAGAAAATCCATTAGAGTATAATTTGGGGATGGGGGAGAAATGATTATTTCTCCTTCATAACCTGTCATTCCTGGTTGCAGTATGTGAAACATATACATGTGACTCACCTGCAGCCTGGCACCATGTTTTCCCCCTGGTTTTTTTGGTTTTTTTACCAGAGGCTGCTGGGAAGCCCAAAGAGATTATCTCTCTTATAGTCTCTTTCCTTGCCAGAGCAGAACAAGGAAAAGGCAAACAGAAGCATGATGAATGCAGGTGGCACCAGCAGCAAGTAGCCCTGTTGGTGGAGCCAGGAAATGAGAGACCTCAGTGGTAAATAGCTCTCCTCATTTTGGCTAAGTACAGCCAGTCAAAAAGCCTGAGGCTGAATCTATTCAGTCTTTGCAGGTTAGTCTAAACTGCACAGATTAAATTGAAACAGAAGTGAACACACATTTACCTTTGATTCAGGAAATACAGCCACATGCCTGCAGTGGCTCAGGCCAGAAACTGGGGGGCACTAGAGCATGGCTCTCTGGCTGTGAGTTCACTTCCTCTTCCTGCTGCCCCCAAGGTCTCTGGGATTTGCAGAATCAGTCCAGAATCACAGCAGCAGGACTCTGCAGGGTTGCTCATCATTTCCTCTTCCTGCTTCTAGGTGCCTCTGAGATATGTAGTCCACAGTCATAGCCAACAGTAAGTTTGAATGGGGGAAGGTGTGTTACAACCCCCATGTTTGGCCCCAGACCTCAGCTGGGGTTTGCCTGGGGGGGTTCAGACCCCTCCACCCCCATAGACTAGGCTGCATCCCCAGTCAGGCTTGCCCTCCCCCCACACCTCCTTGTCAGCCAGCCCTCACTGCTCCACCTAGGGAGCAGACAGCACTGTACAGCTCAGGGCTGGAAAGCATGCTGGAATACTCTGATTTAATTTGAACCAGGAAGGGGTCTGGGTAGGGTGGCCAACGCCTTTATATCCTTTATTTTTCTCTTCAAAAAACCTTTTTGTCCTCTATTTTCTTTCTTCAAGACAAAAAATAGAGGAGATAAAGGCATTGGGTTTCATATCAATAGAGGACATAGGACAACTGGACTGTCCTTTATATTGGCCACCCTAGCGTCTGGGAGAGAAGTTTCATAAACTGGTTTGACCCAGTTCAGTTAAGTCTGATACTACATTCAACCAGGTTTATCTTAAATCAGGTTCAGCCATTTTGAAACTGGTTTATGTGCACCAAACTTCTGTTCTGTTACAGGTTTAAACCAGTTTCTGATCATTTAAACCTGTTTATGTGTAACTTCTGTCCCTAGTCTTTGGGTCCCTTCTGGCTCTTTTTTCCTCTATTAGACTTTTTGCTTTCCAGCCAAACTCAGCCTAGTAAAGTCTCCTACTGGGAGAGCCCTTGTTTCCTAGACAGACTCCCCAGTCCCTAGCCAGTTCTCAGCTGCCATCTCCCCTGAGCCAGATAGAGCTGCTTCCCCAAATATCACCCATGCACGTACCTCTGCACTCTCAGATATCCCAGAACCCACTTACTCCCTGTACCCTTAGATTCAGCCACCTCTGACAAGATCCAGCTAGACAGCGCTCCAGAATGCCAGCAGTCCTAGACACCTGCTAGCACAGTCTATCTATTCCAGCACACCTAGAATTTCTATTTATCCCAGCACATCTAGGTAGTTTCCCACCTCGCTACTTGCCCCAGCCCTACAGTTGTAATGTTATTGGTTGATCCTTCTGAGCTTTTTTCTAAGGGAAAAGAGAGTGCAACAGCAAAAGCCAACTGCACTGGTTTCACTGTCTCCCTGGGTTCACTGTCATTCCTGGGTTTGTGGTCACAAGTGACATGCTGTTTCTCTGCAGGCACACTTGCTTCCAGAGAAGTAAAATTTCCTTAATGATTTCCCAGTAATAAATACCATCACACACAAACACATTTCTCATATTCCTTTTGCTTCTTCTCAGACCATGGTTCTGTGTGGAAGGCCGGGAGGGTGTGATTTGAAAATTATCTAAAATGTGGAAATTGCTTCCTGAGCCAGTGATTCTCAACAAGGTTGCCATGTCACCAAGGGGTATCTTGAGATCCTTTCAAGGGGTCCCCACAGGTGGCCGCACAATGTTATCAGTGTTATGTGTGCAAACATGATTCACAAGATTAAACCCAGAGGTTTCAAATAGAAATGTATAGCATTAAGACATGTTGACTTTTTATGATCTTTCTGACTTCTTTGCAGCACAAGATAGCTTTATTATTTTTCTGTGGTCCAAAAACAAGTAAAAACGAGGAGCTGAAATTTTCCAAAGGGTGCCTCGAGTTTAAGGAGATGTCTCTTGAGTCTAGAAAGGTTGCCACCACCTTAAATAAAGTACATACAGTGTCACAAGCAGTGATGTCCAGAACTTACCAGCTGCGTTTATTAACAATTACTTATGTTATAGATTCCACCATTATAAGATGTCTTAATGTCTTAATGTTCTCTAAGCTTTCAGGACTAAGTCAAATCTATCAATAAGTAAAGCTAATTTTGAAATATTAGAAGAACCTCAGCAGTGCATCTGCAGATCATTTACTTGAGATTCTGTAATTTTGCCATTGACATGTATTTTGGGAATGACTCTTTGCTATGAGCACCGATTTCTGAACCCAAAACAGCTGCTTTGTATTTCTGATCAAGATACGATTTACATAGTGTTGAGATTGTTGTCTAAATGGTCTACAAAGTCAACTATGAAGTCAGGAGATTGTTTTTTCTCTCAAAAATCACATTCACAGACCCTGAAGTACCATTTGCTGTTACCAGCAGGTTCTGGCATTGGGATCTAATGTGGGCTGGATGTCAGTGAGCTCTTGTCGTGCTCTTTCTGAAAATGGTATACCTGTTAATGAAATTCTTTGCCCATTTCTTCCAAAATTGTTCCTATTATGTGGACTATGTAATATCAAATTTTTTAAATGCATTTGGAAAATGCAGCATAACTGGTGGAAAACAATTAACTGACCTTTGTAAACATGCAGTAATTAGAATTTGCCTTTCACACTGGCAAATCTGTGATGTCAGTAGAGCTCACAATATCTCTAAGATGGCATGTGTACTCAGTGACCATATGGCATGTGGCTACGACTCCACATTGGACCTGATTTTTGCATTCTTCATGCTAACTACATTCCCATTGTTAAGGAGTTAGGCTGCAGACCTGTGACATCAACAGTGGGCATGCTGAGTGCAAGTTAAACTGTCAGGGGAAAAAAAAGATCTGCATCTCAGGTATGTTTTTGCCTGAAATCATCAAATTAATCTTTAAATTGAAGTGAACTGTAAACTATGGCAGGTTTACATCGGACTGTTACCTTTGCCTAAAGGGGTCCCTGATTGTGCTGACTGAAAAATTTGAGACTGAACAATTTTCTATTGCAAAGTGCAGTTTTGTCAAAATAGTGATATTCTGCAGGTATTAGTTGATTTCAAGTAAATTGTTGATGGAGAGTTATAAAAACTTTTCACATTTTTATTTTGATAATGTTGAAATGTTTTATTTTGATGAGGCCAAAACATTTAATATCAATTTTATCACTTTATTTAATTTGCTTTAGAAATACATAGTTAATATGTCTGATATAGCGTCTTGGCATTATTGAAACAAAAGGTTTTTATATTATTGGAAAGCAACATTTTGACAAAAACTATTCTATGTAAGTAAAATATTTCAGTTTTTCCTAATTGATCCTTTTAGAATGTTCTGTTTTGTTGTAATTTCCTGCGAGTCGGAATATATGGTTTCTATTTAGCTCTAATTTTCAAGCTCTGCTGTTTCTCATTGTGCCAGGGAGGTGCTCAGTTGAGCCAACTGACAATCTGGAGGCTTGAGGGTGAATTTCTGATCAGGTTTCAGAGGCAACTCAAGACAGTTGGTCCCAGCTGGAAGTGAACTGCATACTGCTGGATTTTACTGTTTAAATGAAGGGATTGTCACCCTCAGTACTAATTGGAAGGCAAAGCAATAGCATAACATGGAAGAGCTACCATTTATGATTTGTACTTTTTCTCCTTGGGTTTTGAGCTCACAGCATGGAAGAATAAGTGTCTAGAGTCTTTTACCAAAATGGTTTCCATTTGGGTTAAACCAGAAATTCTGGTTCTATGGGCTGGATCTGGCCAACAGCCAGAGATTGATGACTTGTGGTATAGTCACTGGCAGTGCATGAAGCTTTTTTGGCCGACATGCCAAAGAGCTCCAGTCCTGTTTTAGAGATACAGAACAAAAAAGGATGAGATAATAAATGCACCTTTATGTGCAGTTGATTTTTGTCATCTCTGCTAAGACATCTAACATGTGATAATAAATTTAGCATCCATAAAACTAGAAGCATGAGTCCAAATTCCTGAATATCTTAGAAATCCACATTAATGTGAATTTCCAGCCATATCAGGTCACCCTAAGATCAGATGTATGATGGTTCAAACTGCTTCTAAAACTTATTTAGCTGAACTATTTTTAAAAATGTCTATAAAACATTCCCAGTGAAGACATGGCTCTATTACCTAATTAATCTTCTGTTGAATAAGACTGTATTTCTGATACCAGCTAAAAGGAGTTTAATAGAATGATTTAGATGTAAGCATTGTCTCATACCTTACCAAGCGCATTATCATCTCTTTCCAAATAATCAATAATGGGCTTGAAATATGTTTTTGCCATTTTGCCATGTTCTGGCTTTATAAGATGAGGTGGAAAATAAGATGCAGCCTACAGTATTTTAATGGTATTTCAGTACTGCACCTGTACATGACTTCCCATTAAATCTCTTTTCTCAGTTAGTCTGTAAGGTGAAATTTACCCTGCTTTCTACTTACCTCTAAACTTCAAGACCTGGAAGATTTCAGGCAAAACTTTTTGAAAAGATGCCAGGAAAACTGTTGATTAACTAATTGCTTAATTTCTAATTGTTCAGGTTTACAAAACCCCCACTCTTACTGTTTTCCTTGGATGGCTTCAGAGTAGAGTATTTGCGTACATGGGGTGGACTTCTTCCTGCTATCAGCAAATTACGTAAGTAACTTCTTTGTCACGTGGCAATGTGCTAGACAAGGCTTCCCATGAAAGTTACAAATTCTTGCCAGTAAAAAGGATGGTGATTGCAGCAAATGGTGCTCTTAGGGCTCTGGCAACTCTTTAATTTTGTAGTGCTACAAATTTTGTATAGGGTACAGGAACAGTTAAGGCTGCTGGCATGATAGTCATTTAAATCAGTTAAATAACAGGTCCCCTCCCAAACCAGGTCTGTAGCTTAACAGATGTGGCAGAAAATTTACATTTTGTTTCTACTTTATCTAGTCTATTAATAACTAGCATGTTATTAATATGAAGAATTATAGATATAAAACAGTGCTAGTTCAGAGATAAGAGAGTGTGATTTTACTTTATGTTAGCCATGTCTACCCAAGATGCTTACTGAGCAATAGCTCATTACTACTATGCTGTAGCATTGCTGGGCATGAACTGTGATGTGATGCTGCAGCACAGTAGTAATGAGCTACTGTTCAGTAAGCGTCATTAGGTAACCTTGCTGGTTACTGTGCAGTCATTTAGTACTTGGTTATGCAAGTACTAAATGAATGAGCAGTAACAACTGCGCAATCAGCTTCTCATGTAGACATGGCCACTATGCGCCAAGACCACTCTTAAATTGAGACAAAAATCTTAGTTGCATCTGGCATCTTGCAGAACACTTTAATGTGTTTAATTTTTACGTGTGTCACTGGCATTCATGGGGTTTGTCATATTGTAAAGTTTAAGAACATACAAACATGTTTACAAAGTGAAGGCCTAAATTCCCGGTTGGCAGCCAGTGCCTTACAGTAAAATACACAAAGAACAGTGCAGGATAATTGGTTCTGACAGAATCCTTAAAACATCTGAACACATTTGTTTGACAATTGATGGGAGACTGTCAAATGCGTTCAATTTTTCAGGGCACATTTAACCACTTGTAGCCCTCATTGTTGTCTTATCGGTATTCACGAGATCTTCCTTCAGGGTAGATACCTGCAGCACATCATTCTAAAGTTGCCTTGACCAAGGGTAGAGATGAGTTTTTTGCACATTATACAAACATATTCCAAAGTGGAGGTAACAATACAAAATGAAATATTTGTACAGACATCTGTGGCATGTAGATTTGGGTGGAAAGAAGGTGGTTGTAGATTTCTCTTGGCTTTAGTTGTTCAAATAATGTTTTTGAACAAAACCTTCATTTCTCTTTGGCACAGAACTATAGGAAACAAATCCAGTAGTATAGAAGACAAAGAAATACAAAAAAGTCCTAGTCAAAATCCCCTAGGATTTGGGATACCCCCACCTCCTCCCTCTTTCCCCTGCTCCAATTTAAAACAAATGTGGGGGAGCAGCCAGGGCAAACCTTTATCTCACAGCACCAGACAGGGCTGCCAACAAAGATTTGTCATTACAGGAAAAAGTACTAGTGAGGATGTCTTTTATTACACATTAGAACATGTATTGTGAGTTTTAGGAGACAGGTTGCCTTGTTTGTATTTTACTTAAATTAGTTTTCCTGGTAGTGGTCTAATCCAAAACATATTAATATCAATATGAAACTTCCCAATAGATTAATGTCCCTTAGATCTGACATCTGGTTTGCAGGTCAACCGGCGAAGCAAAATAACACATGAGATGTGTGAAGCCTGCTGACATCTGTATTGTATTGAATGTGCAAGAAGAGAATGATTATTTTTCTGTTTTATAATCTGTGCACATGCTTTGGATTGATTTGTCAGATCGTGAAATTTAGTTTCATATATATAATTTCTGGTTCTTCCTTGGTGCTCTTTAGTCCTACAAATTAGGACATGAGTTTGGGTGCTGATTTTTAGATAGATAGATAGCTAAATAGATAGATCGATTTAGGCACCTCATTCTGGAATCAAGTACTTGACAATCTGATAACTGGAATGTGCTCTCACACTAATATAAGTTGTGCATGATTTGTTTTAAAGACCCACAGCTTTTTGGGAAGAATATAGTTACACTTGGAGCAAAGAGTTATTCTTTTTATGAGATACGCATATAAATTAAAAGGAAATTAAATAGCTGATTGTCAGATGACAATTGGCAGAGAACTAGAGCAAGAGCTGCTTATAACTCTGTCCAAAGCTACTTTATTCTCGGGAACTTGCAGACAGAAATAGCTAATAGTTCTCATACTACTAAATGATCTCATCAGGTGGCAGGTCTAATTGGGATCATGCAATTTCTTATGATCACATCTGCCCGTAGTTTGGATTATAAAGCCAGGTTCCATGGCTACTGAAGTCAATGGTAAAACTCTCATTGACTTAAATCATGAAGAATCAGACCCATTAGATGTATCTAGAATTTCTACAACTAGCTGTTACATTTGTAATACTTATATTTAAAAACAAAATGAAATGGGAGAGCCAAAAGACTTCAGAATACAAGTTCTGCTAGAGTGTAATTTAAAAAATGAATTAATATATAATTGGAACTTATTGGTTTCTCTCTTTTCTAATTTTAAATTTTTTTTCCTTAGAAAAATGTGGAACATATACTACCAGCCTGAGACCTGTTTATCCAACAAAAACATTTCCCAATCATTACTCCATTGTCACAGTAAGACCATCTTATGGCTTTTTTCCAGGAAGAGATATTGTTCAGCTTTAATCATTTCCAAGGGAAATAGGAGTTTATTTTTTGTGGATTATCAATATATCTATGAAGAATATTTAAGAATTCCTCAAAGTAGAAGTCACACATATTCTTTTCTCTTCTTATTTCGACTGTGGCTTGGGGTATGATAGTAACCATATAAAACTGCTATTTTGTGGTTAAATTAAATCGATCCAAATAAGTAATGCCTATTGTTGAGTACCAGCTGCAATAATTTCTATAGGTTCATAAATTGGTATGCTCCTTCACCTTGTCACACATTTGGCCATTGGGATAGGAACAGACTAATTTCTCTGAGATGTCAGCTTTATTCCCCTTCTTTAGAACAGAAAAAGTGATATGAAGTAGAGAGGGGTCTGGAATCAATATAGAAATCTGAATATCTCTCAGATTCTGTGTGTGGGGATAACTGAGATTATCTGGGATCTGAATCTGTTACAAATACAACCCAAAGGGTAGAAGCCTCACAAAATGTGCTCTTGTAAGGTTTTTCTCCTCTGAGTACATTATACTGGAGGAAAAATAAAGCAATTAAAGAAACCTTCCAAAATTGAATTGCCTCTTAACGTTCAGTTCACCACCAGACTCTTTCTGGCTTTATGTATAGCATACAGAATTTGGAAAGTCCTATGAATGGATTTACTGACTTTCTTGTCTATGTCATTATTTCTTTGGGGATAGCAGGAGGCAGGTCAGTTGCAAAGTTCTTGGATTTTACCATTTTATTAAATTTCTTTAATCCTTTTGCATTTGCAAATTCAAGAATGTGACACAGAGATAATCTTGCCCAATGACTATGTAACAGTGACCTCAACCCCAGCATTCTGCCCTGTCACTGCCTCAGTTTCTTCACTTTGATATATGCCAGGAGAGCCAATTCAGTAAAGGTGCATATGATTTTAACACACAGTCTGAAAAATAGTGCAGTACATTTATGAGAAGCTTCAGTCGGTATTTTAGCCTGGCTGTAGCAGTGGAAGGTGATGCTGTTAAATCACTCTAACTTGTTGAAGTGATAGAGTGCAAAATATGTATGTACTCTAGAAACATTTTAAAAATGACACAATTTTAATTACAGGGGCTGTATCCTGAATCCCACGGTATAGTTGATAACAAGATGTATGACCCAAAAAGAAATGTTTCCTTTACACTTAAAAGTGCAGAGAAGTTTAATCCACAGTGGTACCAAGGAGAGCCTGTAAGTATTTATAAATAAAATATTGCTGCCAGACACACAAGAGCCAGTTATGTCATATACTTGTTTCTCCTGCATACAGGGCGATAATAGGATTCAAGGTCACAGGGAATGCTACCCCGCCAGCCAACAAACATTGCTCAACATAACTACTTGATTATATTGTTGCTATTGTAAAATGGAAAATTAAACTGTGAAATGGATGCTAAAGTAGCTTAAATATATCTGCATGATATGAACTTTACTGTTGTTTTTTCCTTAGTGATATTGTGTTGAGTAAACAATGTAATAAACTAGCATGTCTTTATTAATGAGGCTCCTTCATTCAGATTAATTGTCTTGGCAGTTCCTCCCAGTTCAGAATACTTTTATTTTTCTTCTATATTTTTGCCAAAAATGGGTGGCAATCTGCTGCTGAAGCTGCTATATCATATCATAAAAAGCCATCCAGTGGTCCCCACCCTTCAGCTGCAGCGAACATAAATGTTGACACCCTTCCTTTTTGCCTGGAGAATAAGATATTAGAAATAAATAAAGCAACGACTGGCAATGGTTTGTGCCTATTCTTTCTTCTGTGCCTTTCATTACTGTTGTTTCTAACTATTACTTTACCACCTTATTCAATCCATTTCTGTTTGCCCTCTCCCCACTTTTTATTAGTTTCATCCACTTCATGTTATCTCTCAAGATCCTGCAGAATTGTCCAAAATTCAAAAATCATGATTTGGGCCACAAAAATTTTCTTAGCCTTCTGGGGCAAAGGAGAAAAATGTTTATACATCTTTCTTATGACAAGCAAACTTTCAAATATTGAAAATTGCCATGATGTTCTCTTGTTATCCTCCTTTTTTCTATACAAAGTTCTCTTATCTTTGTTTTTTTTATAGAGGTTGTTTTTCAGCTGCTTTATTTTTATAGTCTTCTATAAAGTGCAATGCCCAAACTGGATATTGTGCTTAAGCTGAGGACGACTAATGCCAAATAAAGCAATATAGTCACCTCCCAGGTCTTGTATATACCGCCTGTGTTAGTGCAACCCAGGTTTGACCCTGCCAAATGTCACAGAGCCAGAAAAAAACGTTTTGAGATGTACATTCACACAGCTATTTCAAGGACCTTCACAACTATTTTGTTTTATTTCATAGATCTGGTTGACAGCTATGTATCAAGGTCTAAAAGCTGGCACATATTTCTGGCCAGGATCAGATGCAAAAATTAATGGAACTTTTCCAAATTTGTATAAAATATACAATAGGTATGTAAAATGACTATTTTGTGGGAAGGGCAATAAATTGCATATAATTATATATACTGTGTAGGATATTCTTCTTTTTTTCCTGCTTTGGCTCAGCTTTTGCAATAGTCCAGAGAAGAGTAAACATGTCTGACTGCTTACTGGTACAGTCCCGCAAAGCTGTAAAAAAAAAAAAAAGAAGAAGAGAAATGCTCATTAGAAGAGCCTATATTTTATATTATGCATATTGTATGCCTACATAAGGAACCTACTATCCTGTACCATGCGTTACAGGTGAAAGCTGTTCTGTTATAACTGTTATATTTCCACCCACCTAGAGTGGTATAAGTTAAGTAAAACTATGGTAACTTTAACCCTGATTCATTCAAGGTGAAGATTACAGTGATTTAGCCCATTTATACTACTATAGGTGAGCTTGCATATTAGGGCTGTGTGAAAGGGCTATCTTTTGTTTCGGTTTCGGAGGGATAGTGATTCATTTCAGTGTTTCAGATCCGCTTCGATTCAGCCAAATCTGTTTTGGAGTTTTGACGCTGTTTCGGCCATAGGCTATAATGAGGAATCACTAAAATGCCTATAACTTTGTCATTTCTTGCCTGATTCAGATGAATATTGCCAGGATGGTAGCCTGCCAAGTTTCAAGGAAATAAGTGCAGGGGTTTTTATGAAACTGTACCTCAAATTGTTCAAAGCAAAACTGCTGTCATCCTGCACATAGATCCGGGGATCTGCGTCCCCCAAGAAGAGTCCAGCATAGCCTTGCAGCCCTCCCAAGGGGTGCAGGCCCCTGGATCTGTGTGCGGGATGACAGCAGGCTGCTGCTGCCAGCTGGGGCCAGCACCAGCTCTGGGTTCTTCCTGGTGGGGGCTGTGCTGGGCAGACTCGGGTGCTGGTGCTGGTGCTGGCCCTGGCTGGCAGCACCAGCCTGCTGTCATCACCATGCTTCACAGCAGGTGATTGCAGAGCTTTAAAAAAACCCCAACAAACACCCTGCACTCACTGGCTGCAGCAGCAGCGATTGAGGCCTCTGGTGGCTCGTGGCAGAGCCCCCCCACGCAGTGCAGGGCAGTGGGGATTGCCTCCCCACCTCGCACTCACACAGCAGCTGCCCCATGGTGGGGGTGCAGTGTGACTCAGCAGGGTGCTGCGCACTGTCTGGGAGCTGGGGCAGCTCCACCTGTCAGCTGGAGCTCCTGGTTCGATTCCCTAGCTCTCTGATTGCTTCCCCCAGGTCTCTCATCATTCTCCCAGCTGTTCTCAGGGGGTGCAGGCCCCTGGGTCTGCAGGCAGGATTTCAGCAGGCTGCTGCTGCTGGCTGGGGAAATAGCTCAGAGCCACCACCATCCCCAGCTAGCAGCAGCAGCCTGCTGTGATCCTGCATGCACATCTGGGGGCCTGTGCCCCCCCAGGAAGAGCTGGGGGAAGGACCAGGGAGCTGGGGAATCGAACCAGGAACTGGGGGAACGTTCAGGGACCTGAACATTCCCCCAACTCCTAGTTCGATTCCCCAGCTCCTGGTTTGATTCTCCTAGCTCTCTGATCATTTCTGCAGCTCTTTCTGATGGGCGTGGGCCCCTGGATCTGCATGCCAGTTTCAGTAGGCTTCCTGGTGTGAGCTGTGCTGAGGGCTTCTGCTGGTTCCAGCTTGCAGCAGCAGCCTGCTGAAACCCCTCACACAGATCCAGGGGCCTGCGCCCCCTGGGAAAAAACTGGGGAAATGATCAGAGAGCTGGGGATTTGAACCGGGAGCTAGATGTCAATATCAGAGCAGTCCTTCCCACCCTCTTCCCCCTCCCTCTTCTTAGTTTTTGTTTCCCTGCAAGCCCAGCTCCAAAATTCTGAAATTCTCTGAAACATTTCTGAAATGTTTTGGAGCCTTCCATTTCGATTTGGATTCAGTGTTTTGGGTGCTGAAACAGCCTGAAACACCTCCAAAACAAAATGGCTGCCAAAATTTTGCGCAGCCCTATTGCACATAAAGCAGTTAAACTGGAATAATTGATGGCATCTGAGGAATTACAATCTAGATGAAAGCTGCTGAAGTAAGGTGCATAACGGGTTGGATTACAGTGCTCAAATTGGTTGGAAACCTAATTGGGAGGAAGACGAGGGGTTCCACAGGCATCTGTCCAGTATCTTGTAGTATTCAATAACTTCATTAAAGACTTTGAGGATAGAATGAATTGCAGACTTGATACATTTGCAGATGACACCAAGCTGGGTGGAGCTGCAGACACTTTATAGGATAGGATTATGATTAACAACAAGAAATTAGCAACAAGAAATTAACAGAGGTCTAAGAAGTATGACTTGAAAGAAAAGGTTGGAAGAACTGGAAAAGATGGGGTGATCGTAGGCTAATCTTGTGTTGATTATGATTTCCAGTTGGCTAGGGATATGTGCTGCATCCTTCCTTCTCCAGCTGTGTGTACAAGGACATTTGGATTGCCTCATGTAGCTTAAGGCACAACTTCATTAGCAACCAGTGCCCTAGGTCTGGTAAAGGTATAGCCAGGTTTATGTCAATGAAGCTTGTTATCGATATGCTTCAGAAGTTTTACCCTGGATTTTAGTTAGTCATGTTTATCGTGAATGTAACAGGTGGGCTCACACAGCAAAACTCATGCTGATACAATATAAGAAAGAAAGCCTCAGGCTATTTGAGCATGCCTGATGAAATCAACAGGACTATTTGAATGAGGCAGGCCAGCAAGATTGAGGGCCTTATGCAAAGCCCATACAAATCAAAAGACATGATCCCATTGACTTGGTAGGCTTTAGATTACGCTCTGTGCCTTCTACTTGTAAAATTTGCCATTAAGACCTACATAGAAGTGATTTTGATTGATTTAGTTGGTATCTATCAGAGCTTTATTCTAGCCAAATGATTTCATTTTTATTTGTGTTGAAAGCAAGACAGGCTGTGAATATTGCTTTGGTCCTTTGAATTATATTTGTTATTTCATTGTTCTGATACAGTTCAATCCCATTTGAGGAAAGGGTGACAACTATTCTTCAGTGGTTGAAGTTACCTGAAGAGGAAAGGTAGGTATGAAATTGTGAACGTAAAGCTCCCATTTCCCAGTTAAACCAATGAAATATGAATGAATACATATATTACAATATAAACACCATTTATACTTAATGTAATACTCTGTGCACTATTTTACCATCTTCAACAATTAAATTAACCTAAACTTGTTAATTGTCTTTCTATCCCTCCCTTAAAATGTTCCATTTCTGATGATGCACAGTGTTTTCTAATAGTTGCTATCCATTGTTGAATTAGTCTTTTCAAGCTGTGTTTCAATATGTATGTAAAATATTACGTTTTTGGTGCCGTTTGATATAGACCACACTTTTACACTCTGTATTTAGAAGAACCTGATACCTCAGGCCACAAGTTTGGACCCGTCAGCAGTGAAGTAAGTAACTCCCTTTAAAAGCTCTGTACTAAGTGTTGAGCATGTAAAGCATGTTAGATTAATGGCCATAAACAGGAATTCTTAACCTACTTAGCAGAACACAGACTTTGCAATTAGAAGAACAGTGAGCACTGTATATAGTAAAGGGCCTTTAATAAATTTGCTATTGAGGGTGTTAATAAATTATCAGATTGTCTTTTGGTTATAATATAAAATTGTAGATGCACATGGGAATATGTAACCCTCCCTCAGTTCATATGGTAATTTCTGGAAAATTTCAGAAAGAAAAAGAAAGCAAATGATTTTCATGGACATTTTCAGTTTAGGAAAAGCTGTGTTTCATTTAAAAAATGTTTGTAATGAAACCTGTTCTACTTTAGTTATAGTACAATTACTATTCATATTGTAACTGGCACTCCTGCTGGCAATGTCAGTGAAAGAATTAAGTGAATGTGGAATTAAATGGTCATATCCCCTTCACTACAAGAAGGCAACTTTAGAGAAGAGTGTAGTGTTGCAGAGGCTGGCAATACCACTGTGGGTGATGTAACTATTCTATAAATAAAGAGGTATCCTTACTATCTGGGATAAGTTACTCTTCTTGAGAGCATAAAATACTTACAGTTGTTGACACCAGAAACTAGAAGGGGCTGGGAGGAGGAAAAATAATGTGGTGGTTTAGGAAAGGCAGAGTATTATATTATCTTGAGTTTGGAGAAATTTTTGGCATCTAACTTGGCAAATAAGCTCTGCCAGCTTCCCTTGAGACAGTCTGCACTCTGGCTTTGTGCCAGTGCTGGGGGATCACACGGTTTTTTTATATGGATATTTAACAAAGAGACTTCATAGCAGCCACCATATCCTAAAAATGTCAAACTTTATTGCCATTACCTTTTGTTAATGATGAACCTGTGGTTACGTATTATAAAAAGTACTCTGAGGATAAAAACTGTTGTAAAGACTTCCAGCAGCTTTATCACATATTTCTTCAACCCTTACTCACACTGAGCAGAGTAAATTATGCAAGTGGTCTTATTGAATAGTAAGTTGATTACAAAAACTAGTTAGTTGCATTGATTACCTAGGTATCTATTATTTTTTGCAAGTAGTCCTACTAAGTCTGTTGTCACTAGCACGGTGCCAAGTCTGAATAAGGAAGAGAGAGCTGAGCCATAAAATGGCATATTTGGTAGCTAGAACCAAGTTTTCAAAGCTTGGTTCTAACTAGTAAAACTTTACATTTTTATTTAAGCTACCAATCCAGCCTTGGGAATTTCTAGTTAAAATAATCCAAATGACAAAGTGTATAAATTAAGTGAAGGTGGAACTTCTTATATTGACTTTTTAGACAAATAGAAAGCAAATAAATTGTAATACCCAGAAATGAAAATGTGGGTGGGACATTAAGTCCTTACTTGTATAAAAATCACCAAGGAAGTCTATAGGAATATTGATGTGAGCAGAATATCTGTTTGCTGAAAGAGACCTTTAATGAGTACACATGGACAATATATTGTACTATACTTTTAAATCAACTTTTAAATCAGGTCATATTAAATGTTAAATTTATCAGGAATGAATGTATTTCTGATGGAAATGCTTAATGTTAGTTTTATAGCATGATGTAACTGTTTCGCAGGTCATTCTTGCATTACAGAGAGTGGACAGGATAATTGAGATGCTGATGGATGGTCTCAAACAAATGAATTTGCATAAATGTCTAAATATCATCCTTGTATCTGATCATGGTAAATTTGATTTCATAATTTATATTCTTACAGTGAGGTGACATTCTTTTTTCATTTTTTACTACAGAAAAATGTGCTAACCTGGTCCGTATTTATACTATCTCATTGTAAAAGAGCCTTAAAATGACTGTAAATGATCTTTTGCAATACCAGAGCGGTATAGAGCATCCTTAGTATAACTAAGAATCGGTGTCCTTATTTTCTCTTTATAGAGCTGGAGATGTTGGGATGAAGCTATTTATTTTTCGTTGCACATTTTATACATAACTCCCCTTTCCCCCATTACCAGCTTCCTTGAATTCAAAGTAACAGACTTGTGTATTTGTACCACCTGCACAGGATAAAGTAAAAGCCACAGCCATGGCTTTTTTTCCACTAGCTGCCCCAGATTGCAAGGCTATACCTCTGAAGCTGAAGTTCCTGACTACAGCCCGAAAGTGAAAATTATCCACTCTATCAGACTCCCAAATTACCCTATATATTCTTTCTTTAGACATGGATATTTTATTAACTTTTCTTCTGCCAACTGCAATTAGGGTGTTTATACAAGTTGTAAAAGGGTGGATGGATGTGTATATTATGACTGCACACTTCCTTTCCTATTATTTAGATATTTTGTTCTGGCTGATAGTTTGTCCCGAAAGGGTATATTTTCCATTTCTAGAAATCAGATATGTATCTCCTTATCAAGAATACTGAATATTTTTATCTGCCTTTTGAATAACTTTTATTTCGCTTTCCAGGAATGGAAGTAGCTAGCTGCAGAAAAACAGCCTATCTGAGCACATATCTGGACAATGTGAATAATTTCATGATTGTGGCAGGCCCCGCAGCTCGCTTGAGACCAATTAATGTTCCAGATGAGTATTTATCTTGTATGTAGTTGCTAAACTAATCTGTGTCATTAGAATATGTATTTTTATACATTTAAACAATTGAAATAGGATTCATACATGCATAAGGTACGAGAGAATCCTGCAGAGGGCAACAAAAATGGTGAGGGGGCTGAGGCACACGACTTACAAGGGGAGGCTGAGAAAAGTGGGCTTATTTAGTCTGGAGATAAGAAGACTGAAGGAGGATTTAATAGCCTCCTTCAACTACCTGAAGGGTGCTTCCATAGAGGATGGATGTAGACTATTCTCAGTGGTGGCAGATGACAGAACAAGGAGCAATGGTCTTATGTTGCAACAAGGGAAGTTTAAGTTGGATATTAGGAAAAACTCTCACTAGGACCGTGGTAAAACACTGGAGCAGGTTACCCAGTGAGTCTGTGTACTCTCCATCCTTGGAGGTTAAGACCTGGCTAGACAAAGCCCTTGTCTGGGGTGATCTAGTTGCGGATGGTCCTGCTTTGAGCAGGGCGTTGGATTAGATGACCTCCTGAGGTCCCTTCCATCCCTAATTTTCTATTTCTCAGACTCAGTGCCAGCTGAGGGCTACTAGGATTGAGGAAAATGATGATATATAGACATATAAATCTGTTTTTAAAGGGGTTCCTGCCTTCAGGAATGCTTGGCTGTGCAAGGCTGTCTATGTCTGTATTTTATGCACACATGTCATTCAAAGAGTGTTGAAGCATCAGTTGTGGCTCTTTCTTCCTTTTTGTTTTATGCGTGGCATCTCTTCAAACAGATGTCTAGTTATTAGCTTAGCAATTCCCACTTTCCTTCAAACCTGATATATGTTCCTGGTCTTATTTTAGATGCCCTCATTCAGTTATAATAATTGATTTCATTTGTGACCACACATGTTAGCTTTATATCTTCCCTGACATCTGTTGGTTATGTGATATCTCTTTCACCTTTGTTGATGTTTGTAACATTTTCAAATGCAAAAACCTAAACCCCACTGAAGTTCATAGGTGACTTATGCTTCTAAGTCACTTAAGCACTTTTGAAAATGTTGCTCATTCGCTTTTAATACCAAATGCCTATAATTCTCTGGAAGTTTGATGACCCTTACACAAGAAGCAAAGTTGAATTTATCTATTATCTTTAAAGAAAGATTGGAAGCTATATATTCCTTTTTCCTGGTTGATTTTATTTTAAGAATATCAGGTATGCCAACTCCATACATCCTAATTTTGCTTTTATTCCAACTGTCTGTTAGTATAGTGTATAGTACTGAATCAAGTCCCATGATTGGAACTCTTTGATTTTGCATCTACTTTTCCTTAAACTTAGGTGACTAATTCTTACATATGACTCTTCCAGTTGATTATGAAGGCATTGTCAGGAACCTTACAGTAAGTATTGCTTTTAATATTTGCTATTTCTTCTTGATTTATATTGATGTTTATTCTTTTACAGTATCAGCAATATGCTAAATCCATTTAAATCTCTGTCCCCAAAGGGGTGTCCTAAAAGATGTGTGTGTTCAGAAAGATCTTGGATACTTTTAAGGGAATAACTTTTTTCCTGTCTATTTTTTTTTCTTTTCCAAAGCAGAACTGGAAGTGTTGAGAATTTTTCTGGAAATGTCATTAGATTCATTACTCTTTCTATATATGACACAGTGGACACATCTACCCATGACGCTACATCTGTGCAGCAAATTGATGTAGCATCAGTGAGCAAAAACCATGATGCCACAGCTACCCTTGGTATAGCATGTTGCTATGGTGATGTAGCAGCTAAAAATAACCGTGTGCTGTGCGGACGGTGCAGTACAGGCTGTTATTGTTCCATCATTTAGTATTTCCAAAAGGAAACACTAAATGGCAGTGCAGTAGCAATGACGCCATAGGGCACATGTAGATGTGCCCAGTGAAAGATAAACAATGGCTGGGAAGGGCTTAGAAAAGTCAAGGGTCACAGTAACGGGATGATGCAAGGAGCCACTTTTGGCTTATGCGGGACTAGAGGTTTTGTTTGCCATTCATAAACACACTTTTTCCCCCTTCAGCTGACATTACATCATATTTGCTCAAATGTGGAAAATATTGTGCATTGCCAAACTTTAAAGACACATCCGCTTGTGGTTCAGAGAAGTCTTATGTGCAGAATTTTTACTTCTATGAACAAAGAACATTTAAAACTATAGTGAGATTAAGTAATATCTATCTAAAATATGTCCCTCTAGAAGAAACATCCTTTAGCTTAGCATGGTCCAGATTTCCTGAGTCTGAACAGCTTTCCTGAGTCTGAACTCAAGCTTGCCAGACAGCAATATTAGGGTCTTGTAATGTTGGTTACATATTTCACACACGTGCACTACCTTTTCTGTTGTACGTTAAAAATAATTTTTCTTAAAGAATAAACAGGATGAAATTGAGACAAAGTTCTAAGAATTGGTCATTCTGAAGTGTAATTACTAGGGCCATGCAAAGCTTTGGTCCCTGATTCGATTCGGTGGAGATTCAGTCTGATTGGGTGGCCAAATCTCTGAATCCAAATTGAATCAGAGGACCCTTTAATCTCTGCGAATTGAATTGGAAACCTCCAAATCAATTTGGAGAGATTCGGAAAGAGTTGACGATTTGGACATAGACACAACTTTAAATGTTTTTTTTACATACCTCAAGGTACCGGTGCGGCTTGTGAATGCTGTAATATTGGGGCGCATGGACCGTCCCACAGGAGTGCAGGGGGCTCCCCAGTACGTTTTGCAGCAGACCCGGAAGCGGACCAGAAGAACTTCCAGTCCACTTCTGGGTTCGCCGTTGAGCATGTGAAGGGCCCCCCCGCAATACTGTGGGACACTCTATCTGCCCCAGCATCACATCGTTCACAAGCCGCACTGGTACCTTGAGGTATGTAAAAAAAACATTTAAAGCTGTGTCTATGTCTGAATCGCTGATTCTCTGAATCAGCGTCGAATCTTCAGATTTGGATTTGGCCAAATCAAATCGGGGACAGTAATCCGAATCAACGAATTGAATCACTGTCCCTGATTCAGGCTGAATCTGAATTGAATAGGTCCTGCTTCGCACACCCCTAGAAATTACCATATCATTGTATAGCAATTATTGCCAGTATTTACTACCATTGTTCTCAAGAGCATTAACTGTTTAACACAAACATACATTTTGTATATAATACCACTGTTGTTTATTTCCATTATTTTAGTTACATACAATCTTTAATAAATAGCTGTAATTTGTCCAGTTTTTCTGTATAAATATTGCTATAGGGTTTTTTCTATGAAGTTTGTGTCTAAACAGATTTTCTTAGATGTTGAGCTTCAGCATTATGCAATTTGCAAAAGTCAGCAAAAGATGACAATTTTCCTGCAGCTGTGAAATGTTGAGTGTATGCACATGGAAATCAAAAGATACTGACTCCATTTTGCACTGAAGTGATAAGAGTCTATGCAATAGTTCACTGCTAACTGGGAGCCATTGAAACTCTTCCATGCTCAATTATGCAGCCATAGTTTATAGCAGTCTTGCTTTGTAGGAGGTTGCCTGGCTGTAGAGGTTGCAACTTTCAGTTTGGAAAATAGATTAGGAATTAATCTTCTGAAGAGCTCCGTATTGAGGCTGATCAAATAATTGATTTTTCACAGAGCTAGGAGCTGATATTTTGGTTTAGTTTGTTTTCTGTTACCCCAATGAAAAATCAAACCAAAAATCATTTGATAAACAAAATATTTTATTTAACGTAACATTAAAAAAGTTGTTCATTCACTCTTTAAAAAAAGCAAAGGAAATTAAATGTTTGATTCACAACACTCCCTGTGCTGGTAGTTGATATCTTCCCCTGCTCCCCTTTATGCAAAAGTTCAAGGTTACTCACCTTAGGTATGGGAGCCTTTGCTTGTAGCCCCTCCTGTACTTGATGGGGTGCAAATCCTATGTCTTATTTCCTAAAAGAGTTCCCTAAACACATCTAAGGTGGGGGGTGGAGATTTAATTCTTGTCTGTTGCTGCTGTCCTACTTCAGATTCATAAATAGGCATTCATAGATTCATAGATGTTAGGGTCAGAAGGGACCTCAATAGATCATCGAGTTCGACCCCCTGCATTCATTGGAGCAGGGGCTAGAACTCAGGTGTCTTAGGCAAGGACAGATATTACACATAGACTGGTTTAAATGATCAGAAACTGGTTTAAACCTGTAACAGAATATAAATTCAGTGCACATAAACCAGTTTCAAAATGGCTGAAACTGGTTTAAGATAAACCTGGTTGAATGTAGTATCAGGCTTAACTGATTTGGGTCAAACCGGTTTATGCAATGTCTGTCCCAGACCCCTTCCTGGTTTGACTTAAACCAGAGTCCCCCAGCATCCCAGATACTTTGCAGCTCTGTGCTGGGCTGGGCATGGATAGGCTGTGCTCTCAGCTCCAAAGAACAGGCTGCCCCGCCCCTCTCCTCCATAGCCAGAGCTCCAGGGGAGACTGAAGGCCCAGCAGGGTCTGCCTGGCTTCCCTCACTGCTCAAGCAGAGATTTCCCCCTCCCTCCCGCCCTCCCCTCTCCCACAGCATGGACCACAGCCCCACAGACCCTAGGCATGTGCTATGCTAGCTAATGCTGAGAGGTGTCTTTGTGTGTGTGCGTGTCTCCAATTTCACTGGGACAGGCAGACAGAACAGTGTCCATTTAGGGCTTTTTGGAATTAATCAACATGTCAGCTGGTAATGTCCCTCCATTCCTTCCCTGGAAAAAGCTGTTTAAGAAGAGCTTGAACTAATGAGAGAGGCTTTTGTTATGCTGATGGGCTGATAAATACTGTGGTTTTATCAGCCCCCCTGCTGGTTTGCAGCCCTGTCAGGTTTTCAGACAGGTTTGCAGACAGGGAGAGGGAGATTGAAAAGTTCAGTATCATCAACTGATGCATGCACTGCATACCCCACTTTGCCTCAGAGTGCTAGCCCAGGGCTGGGGTCTGGCAACACTCCTGCCTCTTGAGCAGTAAGCAGGGGAAAAGCCTGAGATGGTGCAGGCCAGGGTTGGGATTTAAACCCCTCCCTAATCAGAGCATCCTGCCGGAGCCTGACCATATCCTCCCTTCCCACCTCAGCTCAGCACAGGACAAGGGAAGGGAAGGCTACTCAAGTGCCCCTAGCCTTCTAGCCTGAGCCACTGCTGGCATGTGCCTGTATTTTGAGAATTAAAAGAGAATGTCTCTCCACCTTCAAATTGGTTCAAGTTTTGCAGGTTAGACTAACCTGTAAAGATTGAATCAATTCAGGGTCAAACTTTAAATGTCTGTCCTTAGCCTTATAGGCAAGTGACTAAACTATGAGGCTATAGAATAATTTGATTTTGTGTTCTGTGGCACAATGAATATTTTAAATATCCCACCAACATGGAACAACTCCAACGGGAGATTTGGGAGATGAAGCACCTGGGTTCCACTGTCAGCTGCAGTCCATGTGTAATTAGTTATGCAATTTTGAATCCTGGTAATAGGAAATATGGTAAGGACCTACTCCTAAAATCTGATTGCCTGGTAGCACAGGACTTTTCCTGGCAATTTACAGATAAGTTTTTTAAGTCACTTCAGGCAAAGGAAGAAATTTGAACCTGTGTGTTCTTTGTCCTGGATGACAGCTCTACTCCCTTAGTTTTTAGGTAGAAGATGACCACCACTGCTTCTGTCTATTGCAATTTTGTTAATCTACTCTCACAGTTTTTTTCAAGGGAAAAGTATTTGGCTAATTTGACCTGAATTCACAAGTAATTTCATGTGGACTAACACTGTATATATAATTTGATATATACAAAGAAGCAAACTACTAAGCTTTATGCTGTGAATATCTAACATTGAATTCTTTATAAGTGACTTTTTAGTTTTTTCAGCTTGAGGTGTAAATTAGTTTAGCTTGAATACCCTAATCTATTGTCTTCTGGAAGAGACAGTTCAACAGCAACATTTCTTATTTTAATTGCTTCTTGAATGTCTGAAAATTATCCAGTGTCCTTAGACTTGAAATTAAAGAAGACAACTAATAGCAGTTCAATCTGAAACATTTTTCTAAAATCTGTTGAGAAAGTTACAGTGGATCAGTTGATGTGCACTCATGAGCAATAAAATTCATTCCTCCCCACAACCACACACATATCAAAGCATACAATTATTTTATATGTCCACACTTCTAATATAATTAAAATGTATTTTTTTTTATACACAAACCAGCATTGTCACCATCAACATAAGTCATTAATAAAAGGAGGGAGAAAATATACAGTTCTAGTGAATGAATCCTACTGCTCATTAATATGTTTTAACAACTGTTAAAACTGAGATTAAGTCAATATGTATATATCATTTAAGTAAGTAATGTTTAGGCACCTTACAATAGATCCTCAAGCTTGACAGAAAACCTCCCTTTGGTTTAAGACGGGGTGCTCAACCTCTGGCTTGTGAGCCTAATGTAGCCCACAGAGCTATGGTATCGGGCTCATAGGGCTCCCCACAGATCAGGAAATTTGGTGGGGAGGGAATAGTAACCACTAATACTGCCACCATCCCCTGCCATGAAATTCCCAAACTCGAAGAAATTCCCAAACTCAAAAGTCTTGCATGGTGGGTTGAAGCTGGGCCATGATCCCTTCCCCCTGTGAGACTGGGCTATGCCCTGCCCCCACAGCTCAGTCAAGGTGGAGCCACTCCCCCTATCTCCCCTGTGATTTGATTGGGGCCAGATCCCCCCTGCTTGCCCATGGGGCTGGGTTGTGGCTGGGCTGCCCCATTTCCTGCCCACCCCCATAGCCAAATGGGGTCCCTTGATGACTACCCTAGGCACTGGATCCAGATCACTGCCCAGATCTGTCCCGCTGATAGACTGGACACTGTCCATTGGTCCTCCGGCAAGAAAGGTTGAGCACCAGCAGCTTAAGAGGAGTTTGAACAGACCCTTTGAGATTAAAATGCTGATATGCATTTCTTTTCTGCTACTCAGATAAGAATTTATGCATAATAGAAACTTGCTCTTTTTTTTACATATGATTATTAAATGTGAGTATTTTTAAACATTTCAGTGTATTGACTCCAATCAGCCTTTCAAGGCATATATGAAATGGCAGTTACCCAAGCGTTTTCACTTTGCCAACAATGACAGAATCGAACCAGTGCACTTTTACTTAGACTCACAGTGGCAACTTGCTCGGTAAGTTACCATTTTTCCATTCTTAATAATACAGTAAAGAAACTTTTTCTTTTCTAATATTTTAACTTTTCTCCTCTAAGTCAAAGAGCTGTCCAACTTCTAAGCAGCTGGGGGCCAAATGCCCTTTGGGCTCTGTCAGCAGGGGCAGTATACCCACAGACCACACCAGGGTGAGCCATTGGCCCCCCTGGGTTCACACTATGTGGAGGCCTCCCCTCCACTGCTGCAGAAGACCCACCCAGCGCAGAAGAACGTCCCCCACCATTGTACCATGCACCCACATGGGTGCTTCCCCCCACTGTTGTGTACCACATTCATGTTTTACTGAATTGGAGGCCTGTTAGCTATGGGAAGACAATCAACTCCTCACAAGCTGTTAAACAACTCTGCTATGTTTTTATCAAATACTAGTCAAGTCTGAACCTTTGCTGAGGAAACAAAGGGGTGACATTTTCTGAGCTTTTCATTATCACAACTGTTTTCCCATTTCACTGTCAATGATTGCCTGGTTATGTTCTGACCGGTATATTTGCCATTGCCAGGATAGGGGCTTATAATGTATTAGTTTAAGGGCTAGATCCTACTGTATATGCCTATATGGGCATTATCCTGCTGTGTTTTTGGCTTTTACACCCAATTTGTGATTATGTTCTGGGTGCAGCATGGATGGGCAACCATCCTCACAGCTACTGAGTATGCTCAATAGGACTATGCTCTGGCTAGACAAGCTTTTGATGCTGTGTGCTCACCCAGATGTGTACAGGGCAAAAATTCATGATTATCAAGTGTGAGACAAGGAGGTGGCAGGAAATCATCTCCCATGTTAGAGTCCTAGAGGGTGTTTACAGCCTGTTTTTTCTGCCTCCCAGCAGAATGATTTAACTACCAGGCCTCAGATTAGTCATTATCCAGCCTGTTCACTTTTGAAGCTGAGCCACTTGCATTGGATGAAATAGCTGGAGAGCAGTAGAGAAACTTGTCCCACAGATCCTCCCCCTTCCAGATTAGTAGCTATCTTGCTGAGCCACACACCATCTATCTTGTGTTTTTCATCCTGGCCCCACATGTCTACCTCTTGGCTGCCCAGGGAGCCAGTTCCAAGAAGAGGTCTGCAGAAGGCCTGGCATATAATGCCTAACCTGTGCTGGGTAATCAGACAACTGTAGGTTAAACCCCTTGGTGGCCCTGAAACCTGACATAACATAACCTTTTGGCTAAAATAAGATAGGGTTGTGTTCCTTGTCTATTTATTTCTGACAGGTATGCATGAAGGTGTGCTGGGCAAATCTACGTGTCCCTGGCAAAATAGAATAACAAACTGTGTATAAATGCCAAAAATGGATGTAATTAGGTAACTACCATTTAGGTCCATAAAAAGAAATAGGATCCAGTCCTACCTCTGTATACCTATACTATATTCCAGTACTAGAAACCTAGTATATATCCCAGTATTAGAGACCTGGTTTATTTATTGACCAGAGCTTTTTCTACTGGTGGCATACACAGATTTTGCTGTAAAATAATGATAATCTGTAACACCATGGAACGTGGTGTTTGGTAATTCTAAGGCTGTTGTACAGGTAGTTAACAGGACCTGATTTATATCAGAGACCTTTGGCATTTGAATATAGGATGTATTTTAATCAAATGCATTCTAAATTACATTTCTTAATTCTATCAGAAATAATTTCTCAGTGAAATGTTAGATATTCTACATACAATGGAACAGCGCACTAAAGTTCTGTTATCCAAAGGATGAACATCTTGTTCCCAAATTACTTATGATTTCACATACATAAGATGTCTGTGCTGGAATCATTAAGCCTGAAGAGGTAATACCTGCAGATGATAATCTCTGTCCCTCAGATTTTAAAGACAATCTCTATTTGCAAGTCCCTGGGATATAGACTTGGGTTTAATTAGTGTCCCCTCTAAGTTCAGGCAAACAACATTGCACTGAATGTGTTTTTATTCTAATATGTAAAGCATTATGGGTTTTATAAACTATGATTTTTTAATAGGAAACCATTTGAGATCAAGTCTTGCAAAGGTGGATTTCATGGCTCGGACAATCTCTTTATGAATATGCAGGTGAGAGCCAGAAAATATGAATCCTTCTTATAGTTAATATGAATACACCTTATTACAGATATGCAAAGGATAAAGGTTCAGACACTTCTGTTGCTGTTACTGGGTGCCATTAATACAACTGAATAAACTCTGGTGCAATTTGAGCCAGGTTAAACTACTCCCAATGTCACTGTCTACCCATGTGTTTAAGCACAGTAATGATAACTATTATAATGATAATCTTATATCTTATTTTATAATCTTACTCTGCCATCGGATAGTACCTGTGTCTGATGGGACTATCCTATTCCAGATTAAATTAATCTGCTATACCCTAATTGCAGTGCATGTGTAGATGGTGATGCATTACTGCACTGTAAATTAGTGCTTTACTGTTTAGTAAAGCACATGTGTAGACATGCCCACTGATGTATAACCTACAGATCACAATTACAAGTCAGGACTCTACTGTGCTAGGTACTATACAGACATATAACAAAAATCCCCTGCACTTGTCAAGTGGTCTTATAGGCTAAGTAAGGAGGAGCCAAAGTTTAGTTTTTCTTATAATCTTTCTGCTTTTAACATAAAAAACCTAAAGTTTCAATGCAGGGGAAACATGCCAGGTCAGTTTTATATGAGAGGAGATTATTATGTTTCTTCTAATGTTTCCATTCTTCACTGGCATAAATATAGGGCTTCTTCACATGAAGAATGCCAGTCATGTTGGGCTAACATTTACACCAGGTTCTTGAAGTCATTTGATTTAAAGAAATGGACAGTGAGGAATTTAATTTGTTCAAAAGCATGGAAGAGTGGAGGAAATGTCAGAGATAACTAGGTTAGCATTTGGTTTTTCAAACCAATTATGAACTTCAGATTTGCTAAAATTTATCTGCTTTCCCTATTTAAAAAAAAATGATTCCTTTATGTCTCCATACTTCTTCCATAAATAATTATACATTGTCTTTTGAAAATAGCTGCACCTAATTCAGTCCACATTTTACTATCTGTCACCAAAAATGAGATTATTACAATGTAAATGGATCAAAGTGCTTCTGGTTTATATAATAGCATGAAAACATTTTTCACTGATATTCCTTAAAGAATGAAGTAAATTGGAGTTCTGTTTAAACCATAGGCTATCTTTATTGGCTTTGGACCTGGATTCAAGTTTAGTACTAAGGTTGACCCATTTGGAAATATTGAAATCTATAATTTAATGTGTGGTAAGTACAAGCATTTTTTTTAGTTTTTTGCATCCTAGCAAGCCTGAGAATACCATTAGGGTAAACAAATAAGAACCTCAAGGTGCCACATGTGATGCCACTACCATGTACACGTGACGAAAATGTCACTTTGTGTGGCTTAATGGTGTCACACTGTACATGTGCAAGAGTTTTGGGGGTTTTAAATGAGTTTGCATTATTGCAAACTATATTACACCCTGATTTAGTTTAGTTTGCAGTGATGGATTGTAGCTATTAGCTCAGGCCCGAGCTACGGAAGAGGGAAGTAGATTCCATGGAAAAAAAGAATTGGGCCCCTTGCCATTTCTGCTTTCAGTAAGTGCCTGGCAAAGGGGCCTGATCGTTTTTTTTTTCCCCAGAAGAGCCTACTTTTTTATTCAAATTCCTAAACCTCTCCTGCAGTTAGGAGTTACTCTTCTGGGAGAGGGTAGATATAGATATAACTTCCCTGAGGCAGCGTTAAATGTGCATTACCCACATTTTTGGTGATTGTTCTCACCACTGAGTTATTGGATGAAAGGGAAGCAGCTTGCTTTTCTGTCACCGCTCTGGTTTGCATGGGTCTGATCTAATGTGTACTGAGTATGATCCACAAATTAGATACATTTTTGACTTAGCTACCTAAAGTCAGAGGCTGCTTGCAGATGTAAAAAAAAAAAACCCAAATCCCCAAACTGTGGTTTACCAGAAGAAGCAGCAAGTTACTTGGACCTGACTCTGCAGTGTCTGTATAGATCGGGTGCTTTTTGATTCAATCAGCTGTTAGATAAAAGTGCAAAACCCCCCCTGCTAAAGCACCTGATTTATACAGACATCAGGCAAGCTTGGTCCAACTAACACACTGCCTCTTCTGTATGCTGGGCTTGGCACAGGAGCACACAAAGTTTAAAGTAAAGCACCATTAAAAAAAAAAAATGTAACGTATACAAGCAGCCACATGAGATTGGCATCCTTTTGTCTGCGAGAGATGGTGGATATTGCAGCCTATGGCATAGAAGTCAGAGCTCATGTGACTGAATAGTCCAATCTGAGATTTGCATGATCTGTGGCAGTGGTTGCAAGTGTACGTGTCATGATTGGGTGGTTTGGGAGCTGCTTGCTGCCTGCAGACTCTTTTCTGCAAGCTGTTGGAGCCAGTTCCTGTCACAGACTTTAATGCCCTTGTGACACCACTTGTTCCAATCACTTGCCAAGTTGTCCCATTGGTCAGGGTCAATGCCAAATGCCTTCATAACTCGTTTGCATGTGTTTTTATAGCGAAGCTTGGGAAGTCCTGTTGTTCTTGGTACCTCCAATAGTTCCCTGTATAGCATGTCCTTGGGTATACATCCATCTTCCAATCTACTCATATGGCCTAGCCAGTTCAGTCATCTCTTTTTGAGTAGGGCTATCACACTTGGTAAATTTGCCCTTTGAAGAACCTCTGTGTTGGTAACTTTATCTTGCCATGTAGGCTCCTTTTAGGGTATAGTGCATAAGACCTTCAACAGGCATCCAGGACAGCTTCTCAGCTTTCAAGATATGAGACTCAGGCAGGGTTTCCTAAAAAACTAAGAGAAGCTGTTGTCACAGTTCCCACAAAGTTCCAGGTTTTAGAAGGGAGTTTGTTCCCTCTTCCCCAGTAGCAAGAGGGAGGTAAAAGAGAAGGAGCATTCCCTTCCTCCACAACAGGACTGTCACAGGTGATAGTTAGGAGTATGAGTGCTAGAAGCAGCCACCTTACTTTACTTTACTTTCGAAGCTGCTTAACATGAAATGAATGAGTCTCATAGCAGAAACAGGGAGTGCTGCACTCACGACACATAAATAATTATAGCCACAGCTGAAACAGTAATAGAGCAGTGGATTTCTAGTAATAGAGCAGTGGATTTCTGATCTCTTTTATGCATTTGAATTATTGTTGCAGACCTGCTTGATTTGATACCAGCCTCTAACAATGGGACTCATGGAAGCCTAAACCACCTTTTAAAAAACCCTGTATATATCCCAAGCCATCCGGAGGAAGCAAGCCATCCTTCTTCATGTTCAGTCATGAAACAAAAACCCTTTCCAGTGGACCGTGGCTGCATATGCAGTTCATCAGTGAGTTCTCAGACAGATAAAATTGCTGTGCTGAAGTCATTTTTCTGACAATCATGTGCTCCCCGGTGTAACCTTTGCTACATTTAACCCCTAATTTCTCTCTCTGAGGCCTGATTCAGTACCCAATGGCAGCAACAAATGAACATTTGCATTGACTGTAAGAGGCATTAGATCATGCTCTGTGTGGCTAATTTTGCTACTTGTGAAAGTAAGTTCAAATTCAGGCACAAGATGTCTGGCATGCATTTAGAGGTTGTTGCAAAAACATTAAACTCCTGCTTATTCGTCTGAGTGATTCTGGAATTTCCCTTTTATGGGTATAAATGTAGTGTGTTTGGGCCACAGTTTGATGGTTTGAATGTTTTTTTCTAATGTTACCCCTTGCATACCCACAATAGGCAGTGCTCCATTTGCTTTCACACAGGGAGCTCTCTCTATAGACTGAATATGTTGAATTTATTAATATTATTTATTAATATTATTGTGTATTAATATTATTTATTAATTTATTAATATATGGAGTGGTCAGGGTTTTTTTCATTGTAGAATATGGATGATGAGGAATGATAAACTGGTTTAGTAACATCCTAATGTTTTCCCTTTTATAGGGTTTGCCAATAAGGGACTTTCACCAACGTTTAAATCTCACTGCATCACAAGGTAAGACTTTTAGACAATAAGTGGCAAAGTCAATGACAAAAAGCAGTGCAACCATGCACAGGCACACACACAGGCCAGGCCATCCAGAGCAATGCTCTGGCTGCTGGCCAGGCCTCTGTGCTGCCTGACCTATGCCCCTGCTGCTCCAGGCCACCAGGTAGGACTGCTGGGGCCAGCGCCACTTCTTCAGCTGTCCCTGGCTGAAGAGCTGGGAGGAGCTGGGCAAGGGCAGTTTGCCCATTGCAAGATAAATTGTCCCACAATGAAGTGTATGTGCATGGATGTCCACTGTGGCAATTTGTACCGCTGCAAGCACACTCCCCTGCTTGTCTGGACATGGCCTGAAAGTTTATATATTAAGCTGGAAGAATATAGCTCTGATGCAGTATATTTTGGAGCCTAAACAAAGCAGCTAGCATGGCTACAGTTACAGTTTCTTTTTTTTTTTTTACACATATGGCAATATGTGTTTTGATTATCTGGACATACTTACAGTCTCCCAAGTGTTATACACGGAAAAAAAATTACTGGCAAAGCCCTCTAAATGTTAATGCCATAGTGACTGCATATATAAAGAAATTTTCATTTTAAAGTCTAATTCAGCGGTTCCAAATTTGTGGTACACGTCTAACTGATTAATTGTAAGCAGATGTAACAAGCAGATTCCTTCTCACTGGAAACAAAAATGTACCTGTGTCAGTCTGATTTGCAATAGAATATACTTTGTTGTCACTGTTCAGAAGCAGTTGTTTTATTTCTTTAAATGAGCATTTAACTTGTATCCAAGATCATAATAGAATTAGACCCCAAATAATGGTCACATGGAATGTAACTGCTACCATGAACACCTAAGAAAACAGTTTGGGGATGATTATAATGTCAGAACGATCAGTAGGCTGATGCCATCCTTATTTTGTGTTTTTGAGTCAGACAGAAGTGACATCACCACTGGCTGCTGATGCTTGCTGCATTTTCTACCCATGAGTAACTCCCATTAACAGAAATATGTGTTTTTGTTCCACTCAAGGCAGGATTAGACAGTTTTGTTTACTTGGGAATAATTTAAGGCTTCTGCAGATTTGTGTAGGCTGCTGTGGCTTAGAAAGTGAAGAAAGTTTTTCTTTTCTTGAATCTAGTCTGTGCATAAAAGTGTGCGCTTTGGAAATCGAGCCCAAAATCCCTCTTCCATGATTGGAGCATTTGTGCTGGGAATCACAAAAATGAGATCCACTTAGGGACCTCAGCAGTGAACCTGGGAGTTTTGTTTGAGGCCCCAATTCAACAAGATATTTAAGCCTAAAGTTAATCATGCAGGCCATTCTGTTAAAAGTGGTGAGTTTATTGACCTGCTTTAAGTCAGGTATGTGCCTGTGTGCTCTATTGAATCAATGCCAGAGCATATATTGGAGGATCAGGCTTTTTATTTCAATTAACCCACTTTTGCAGCAATGTTCAAATGGTCTGGTCCTATTCCCAAGGAGAAGTGTAGGAACTTTTGCACTGTATTTTGTGGAAGCTGAATTCTGTCCCACGTTCAGCAGTTAAACCTCTGACCGCGGACTAAGTGGTGCCAGGCCAATCCAAAGGTCAGGTCAGGCCTGCAGACCCCCTTACTCCATGCCCCCCTGACCTCCCCATGCTGAATCCAGTGCACACAGCACCCCCCACACCCAGTTCGGCTGCATGTAGCCCATGTCCTGGACTGGCAGGAGACACTATATATAACACAGGTGCTGGACTGGCTAGAATGAGCATGATATGTAGTGCGGGTCTCGGGACAGGCACTGCATGCGGTGCCTACACAGCCAGTCCGGGACCTGTGCTGCATGTGGTATTCATTTTGACCACTCGGGATCTGTGCCCTACCCCTTAGCTGCAAAGGATAGGACAGAAAGCAGTGGCTTTAAATAGCAGGAAAGCAGCTTTAGATTAGATCTCAGGAAACATTTTCCTTGCTGTTAGAACAGTGAGGCTGTGGAATAGACTGCTTAGGAACATGTCAGAAATTCCTTCAAGTTTTCAGGAGGCTGGCTAAGTGTTGGATAGAGATAGTTTAGGAACAGCATTCCCTCTAAGATGTGTGGTGTGTGCAGCCGTGCAGGCGTACTCATGCTGCATTGCCAGGCATGGCTGCGCATGCCATGCAGCTTAGAGGGAACACTGTTTAGAAATAAAACTAGAGATAAAATGTGTTTGGCAAATGTGGTTCAGGGAAATGTGATGGGGTGCAAATAAACGAAGAATGTGTGATGGATCTTTCAGGAGAGGGTTTCAGGCTTTTTTAGTATTTTTGGTTTTCTGGGGCAACTGAAGGGGCAACTTGGTTTTCTGGGGCAACTGAAGGGGAAGGCATTTGGACATCTTGCAGATTAGAGAGGGTTATTTATGAGACCATGTACAATTAGTGTTGCCTTTGGCCAGGGGAGGGAATGCTGGATTGAGCCCCATATTGCAGCTGTTCAGGAAAGCTTGGTTCCGGTCCTGGCAGCTGTGAGTTGAAGTAATTCCCTGCCTCTACAGTTGTGTGCTGGCCAGCTGAGGGAATTACTGGGGCTAGTTATGGAGTACCTGCATGCCAACCCTGCAGTCCCAGAAACTGGTGCAAGAAACAAGGGGAAGTTCCTACTTTTAAATAGAAAAGCATAGGGGTTAGAGTCACAAGCCAACGGGCCAAAGGGAGGGAACAGGTAAAAGTTAAGAAATAACAGTGTAGTAACATATACTCAACACCTTAATTCTCCCCCTCGCCCTTGCATACACTTCCAGAGGTGTCCCTGAACAAACCTTTAGTCCCAGAGTGCTTGAACAACAGCAGTCTGCAGCTGCCCTGAAGTCTGAGTCCAGCTCCTTCAGTCCGCAGTCCTGGCTGACCAAGCCAGTGGGATTTTCAGCTCCACTGTGCACTCCTCTTGCACAGGGCTGACTGGGATCCATGTGCATGCTGCTCTTTGTTCTCCTTCTCCAGACTCTGGCTTCTCTTCAACTTGTACAACTCTTTCGCCTTTTACTAATGATTCCCTTACTCCAGCCTCCAGAGTCCTTCCTTGCTTGCCTTGCTCTTCCTTTTTCCCCTGCATCAGCCCCTTGGGCTAGGGGCAGAATTTACACATAAACTGGTTTAAGTGATCAGAAACTGGATTAAACCTGTAACAGAATAAAAGTTCAGTGCACATAAACCAGTTGCTGAAACTGGTTTAAGATAAATCTGGTTGAATGTAGTATCAGACTTAACTGACTGAGGTCAAACCAGTTTATGGAACTTTTGTCCCAGATCAATTCCAGGTTTAAGTTAGACCAGAGTCCGCCAGCATCTCAGTATGCTTTTCAGTCCTGGTCTAGGCTGTGCTGTCTGCTCCAGAGAGCAGGGCTAGCTCTGCCCCTCTGTTCTCTAGCCAGAGCAGGGGCAGAGGCATTACCAGATACAGTCTGCCAACCCTGGCCACTGCCTCCACCACTTGTCCCCAATCAGGCAGACCCTGGCTAAGTTCTCCAGGGGGTGGGAGGAGCAGTGAGGGACACCAGCTGGGGTCCCCCATGTCTGTGCCCAAGAGGGCAAGAGACAGCAGAGTTTAATCTCCCTCCTTTCCCCCACTCCTTCACCTGTGGCACTCCCCTGACTGGTATTTGGCCATTCCCCCCCCTTGGGGACAAACCTGGCAAGGGCTGCTTCCCCCTTCCCACTCCAGGCACTCCCTGACTGAGGTCCCTGTAGGCCAGGGTGGGGGTTTAAACCCCTCCCCAATCAAACTTAGTGGCCTGCCAGGGCCTGGCCATGGTCCCCCTGCTCCACCCCCCAGGTCAGCTTCCCTCCAGCCTTGCGGTTGCTGCCAAAGGGAAGGCAGGGCTCACTCCAGTGTCCCCCAGCTTCTAGCCTGAGCAACTGCAGGCACGTGACTGCATTTCTGGAATCAAAAGTGAATGTCTGTTCACTTGCTTTTCAGTTTAATCTGCATAAGTTAGACTAAACTGCAAAGATTGAATCAATTCAGGTCAGGCTTTTTGAAGGTCTGTACTTAGCCTTGGGGTTTCTGGGAGTTGTAGTTCAAATCAAGAGGCATCATAGCTCTGCAGACTGTAGCCTGGTTCCACTTGCTGTTACACATATTATATTCACGTTACACCTGCAAGTTGGTCTACAAAAGCCATTGGTAACTGGGAATTGTCTGGGTTGGTTTAGGGGATCATTCAGTCCCCAAAAGGGGAGCCCTGACTAGTTCTGCTAGAGATTAGAAATGTGACTGTATAAACTGAGCATGTCTACATGAGATGCTACTGTGCAGTGGTTTCTGTGCATTTATTTAGTACTTGTATAAGCAATTAATAAATGCACAGTACTTGCTTATACAAGTATTTAGTACTTGTATAAGCAAGTAATAAATGCACAATTATAGAATTTATTAATTGTATAAGCAATTAATAAATGCACTCCAGACTACTGGAGTTACTGCACAGTAGTGTCGGTGAACGCCTTTTAAGTGACGTTACTGTGTAGTAGTCTAATACTACTGTGCAGTAGCATCTTGGCACTATTTTTGCCATGCAGTGCTACTGCACAGAAGTATCAGGCTACTGCGCAGTCAGCGTCTTGTGCAGGTCACTGTGTTCTGAGTTACTGCCAGTAGCCAGCAATTGCTACTTTGTGCTTTACCTGTTGTGCCACTTGGAGATGGGAGTGCTGGGGTCTGTCATTAGTAGACCCTGCCTTCCATCATCCCCCTCTGGTCTGGTATCTTTCTATTACAGTTTTAAAGACACACCACGTGAATGCTCATGTCAGTATAGGATATATTAGCCCACAGAATCATCAAGTTAACAATAGAACAGCTAAAACGGAAAGTGTATGCTACAAGCTGTTCTACACTCTTGTAGATGGAGCCTACATAGAAAGGCCTTCATGGCTGTGTGTATAAAAACACCTTCATCATCAATCTGTGTGACATTGACAGCAGATGTGGAACTAAGTACCACCCTTGTAAAGGTTTAGTCAGTTTTCCATTATGCCATTTATTAGATTCACCAGGTCTCTTAGAATTCCTTTAATTCTATTCTTTCATGTGATTCACTACTCAACTTGGGTGGTTTTAGTACAACAATCCTTTCAGTTAACTCCAAACTTGCAGTCACTGTCCTTCCAAAGTAGCATATTTTGCAATAGGAATGAGTCCCAGATGAAATTCTTAAACATCCAACAAAGCTTTTGAGAATTTCAGACTGTCTTGAATTTTAAACGATTTCTCTGTACTGGCAGGATACATAGCTTTCCCTTTGAGTTTAACCGCACTGTAAAACAGGAGCCATTGGGTATTTTACTTTGTTTTAATTGTGTTAAATGTAATTCCCTGGCTTATCAGAGTGATGTTGTACAAGATTGATACCTTTTATTTATCCTTAATCATGACTTTATTATGTCGCAGTTGGAAGTTATGACAAAAATTTAGTCACAAGAAGCATGATGGTGCATGGCAAAAAAATGTTAGCAACCAATATACAAAGTGCATAGAAATTGCAACTAAAATCGTTTGTGCTCTAGAAAAGAACATAGAGGAATACACTTTGCCATATGGGAAGCCTAGGGTTCTACAGAAGAAAAGCGTCTCTTGCCTTCTCTACCATCACCAGTATGTGAGTGGATACAGCAAGGACCTCAGTATGCCTTTGTGGAGTGCCTACACTATTAGCAAATCTGTAAGTTTTTTGGAGGTTTCTGTAATGTTTTGTTCCTCCCATTGCTGTGATTTATTTTTTACCTTTTTATCTTTGATCTTTTTTCTTCTTTTGTGAACTGGAATTGGAGGACTGGAGGGAAACTGCTTTGTTTTTTGAATATTGGTTGTCCCCAAATGCAGCTGCCCATAGCATCATCTCTTATGGAAAGGCCTCCAGGATAGGGAATGTCAGGAGGAAAATACTGTGAGGTTTTTTGGGCCTTCTATCTATACTACTATTACAAGTAGTATTCTTTACAGTGGATGGACTTTTGCTCCTACCCCTCCCTTGGAGTGAGCTAGCTCCATGTCAGTCTTCAAAAGTCAGCATACAGCATGGAACCCAGGGACCTGCTAGTAGGCAAAGGTCATCAGTACAGAAAGTCGCAGGAATCTTCACTGACATTGAGCCTTGGCTGGGCCGGCTTCTTGGAAGCGTGGGCTGATAGGCATTCTTGATGGTGGCTGCCCTTGTAATCCTCATTTTAAAACTGGGTTCCCATAGAATAAAGGGAAATGGTAATTCAAGTAGTTTTTGTAGGGTTAGTATCTTATAAAGAACTGCACAGGGCCCTAATCCACGTCCATTATCAAAAAGTCCCTATAGGGAGAATGGGGTAGGGACAGATGGTTGCAACAAGATTAATAATCATCCCTCTGTCCCTACACACACACATGTGCTTTCCAAGCAGAATGAAGGAGATCCACATGTGAATCTTGGGAGCACAACTGGTCCACGCTTTTCAAGGTTATCATTTCTATTTTTGCAAAATTTTTAGAAGCTAAATGTCACTTCTTTCTTATTCATAGGTCAGTCTGGAAAACTCTTTGATTTGAGATACTTGTAATAATGGCTGGACAGACACCAAATCTGTGTCTTCACTTATTAGACTAACAGTAATTTTTTGTTGCAAAATGTCCTCATCCCCAAAGTCAACCTATGAATATTTGCCACTAAAATTTCAGCAAATGTGTTATTATTCCATGGCCAAGCTTTATTTTTAAAATGAAACTGGCTGTAATACTACATTTCATGGAACATTTTTCTTCAAGTAGTCTTATCTTTAGAACTGATTAAGACAAACTAGGATTTTGTTCAGTTGGTTTATTTGGGAAAGTGCAGTTCTTTCAATAAATGTTTGCTATTTTAAAAGATAATAGCAAAGCTGTAATTAAGACTGAACTGCAAGGAAGCCAGAAATACCTCACAAAACTGAAATCCTGGACTATTTAAATTGCTTTTACAATCACATCTTGTAAATTTTCCCAGGTTCTTTTCATTTGCCCAACAAAGTCTTTTCAATAAGAAAAATTCTTCCCATCTCACCTTAAAAATAATCAGTTTTGTCCATTTTAGTTGTGTGATACTCATAAAGCAAAAGAGATACTGAACATTTTACACCATCTGTAATTCACTCTCATTATGCAGTTAACATCACTTAGGCCATGCCCATATGAGCGTGGATGCTTGGTTCCCTGGGCACAACAAGCAGTGGCACACCTTGTGCTGCTGCTAGTTGTCCCTGGCAAACGCCTGTGCCATGCACGCTCCGGTGCACAGCAGGTTACCCCTGGTGGGGTAGAGAAGGCTGGGGCCAGCACTGGACTAGCCTCAGCAGCCTTACCTGGGGTCCTAGGGGCCTCTTGGGGCTAAAGCAGCAGTGATCCAGCCACTTGGAGCCTGGTTGGCAGCTGAAGTGTGACTATAGCTGGCCAAGCTCTGGTTTTGAGCAGTGCACGCTGCTCCCGTGTGCACTGCTCCAGGGTTTTTTTTTGACCCGTTAATATCCAGGGATCACACACACACATACCTGGCCCCCATGCTGCTACCTTGCAGCATGGAGAAGAGCTGAATGTGCAGTATGTGGCACCATAGACATGTCTGCAGCGCCACATGCTGCATGGCCATGCTTATCTGGATGCAGCCTTACAGTCCAATTTTTAAGGATTTGTAAGCACAAGAATTGAAGACAAATGGCTCTGGGCTGACTATTTATACAGCAATTACATTCTATTTATGTTCAATAGGACACTTGGATTGGGTCCATGGAAAATATCTCCAGCTGTTTACATACGGATATTCGCACCCCTTCCAGTCACAACCAGCGTTGCTTGTTCTACAAGAATCACCCTCAGCTAAACTACGGATTCCTTTCACCGCCAAGTAAATACATAGTTTTTTTCACATACTGTGTCTGAGTCCTGTAAACCTTTACCCTGTAGTGGCAGCCTTTTGCAATAAGTTGTTCCAGGAAATTAGTCAACTGTCAGGTTGTCACCGTAGACATGTAAGCAATATATTCCACAACATACAATTTATTTTAGCAGAAAAAGTGTAGGAGTCTGTCAAATTTTAGTTTGGCAGTTGGCAGGATATGTGAGATGTTTTCATCATATTTTGGAAGTCCCTGAGGTAGTCTAGTTTCTAAAGCAGCATCTTATACAGGAAGGGAGAGAGACTGTGTCAAGTTTTGCAGACTACTGTAATAGAGCTAATGCAAGTTTCCCTTTCCTCTTACATGGTTTGTAGAATTTGAGAGTATTTCTCATTGGAAAACTGCTTTATTGATTTCATTTTATATCTGAAATCCAAAATTGCACTACATCAAGTCTTCAGCAAATTAAACCTTTGGGCCCTTGAATTTAAGCACTTTGCAATTTGTGGAGCCTTTTTAAACCTATGTAAGGTGAATTAGAATTACAGTTATGATGACTTCAGTAGTATTTTATTCTTGCTTCTCTCAGTTGTAAGTGACTATGCAAAGTGATGGGCAACAGATTATTTATTTATACTAAGGGCCTTTGGATTATTTATTCATACTAAGCCCTAGGTCCCAGAACAGTACTTTTTTGGTTTATGTAGAACACATATTTCCTATTTACTGCTTATGGACCTGATTTAGTACTTACCAGAGTCAGAGCACAGGCTCCCCTGGACTTTGTGGGAGGCAGCATCAGGCCTTAATGATATTTACACATTTGTCATAAGTGAGGTCCGCATTATTCTCTTTATGTTGATCTTAAAACCTCCATGTAGATGGCACTTCAGGCCAAGTATAATGCCAAGTAGTGAATACCTATAATGCTGTCAATCCTTTCTTTTAGATTTAATAAAAGACACAAAGAACAGCCACTATGAAGCACTACTTAGCAGCAACATTGTGCCAATGTATCCTGGTTTTCAAGGTAATTTTTCTTTACATACATTTGCATGCAAGACACATTGTTGATAGCTTGCTTTCAAATCAGGCAAAGGATGTCTGACTCTATAAACTAAAACCCAACCAGGAGAATGGTTACAGTTGGGCCAGATTGTGAACTCTATGCACAATGATGAGGAGTTGTTTGGAGAGTCAATAAGACTCATGTAAATAGTTGTTCATTGCAGTGAGTTAGCATTCTCAGTCTGTGCGTCTATGTAACCCAGAACCCAGAGGCAGTTTCCTAATTTAACATTTTACAAGCTCTTGCTGCTTATTTTTTCCTGCTGTCTGAATTTCACTTGCACAGATTTCATACAGTATGTCTTTAATGGGCACTGGTGCAAGTTGTATAGTTGCACATAATATATTGGTGCAAGTTGTATAGTTGTTTCCAGTTTAGGAGTGGGTTCTAGATTGCAAAATGGTCTTTTGACTGAATTCTCATTTGAAATATGGGCCCACTCTAGCAATAAGAAAATAAGGACAATAATTACACAGCTAGAGGGAAATGAATATAAGAGCTTAGCAAGCACTGGTGAGACTGGGCACATCTGCACATGCCAATTTAAGGCACATTAGCCATTTTTAACGCACATGAAAGGTGTGGGTCTACACATGTGTGCCCATAATGTGCCTTAAAAATGGTGATTTTAGGCTAATTGTGCCTAAATTTGCTACCTGCATAAAGCAGGTATCAAACTTAGGCATGAATAGTTAAGGCACCTTAAGGGATGTGTAGATGCCTTAAGGTGCCTTAATGCTGTGTATGTTGACTGAGTGGGCCAGAACCGAACCCATGGGGCCCTGCACTGCTGCTGGGTGCCACCAAGAAGAGGAGGTGGCAGGTGCTGTTCTCCAAGGTGCAGATGCTAGAGCTGGAGCGGCAGTTCTGGCAGCAGTGGTACCTGTTGGTATGCTGACTGATTTGAGACCTACATGCCCCACTTGGAGCCACATGTGTGGTCCCCAGTGCCTGGGAAGCGGCTTCCTGTCTGCATCAGTATCAGAGCTCCTGGCATCCCCTGCAGTCCACCCTGCCTGGACTCAGGGAAAGCATTGTGGTGCAGGGTCTGCCTCTTTTTCCTGCAGCCCCTTGGCTTTCAGCACGGCAGAGAGGAGGGGAGCAGGGAGACACCAAGGAGTTTCACAGGACAGTGGCATTTGGCCACTTTTTCACTCATTTCTGTGCCTGAGGAGTTTCCTGTGCTAATGAGGTGTTTGACTGTGAAGTAAAAGACGGGTGGCTGTGTGCGGCTGGGTGCATCTCCGCTCCCCACTGCCACAGACTGAATCCCTTCTTTGGAGCTCAGAGGAACAGGAGTCTTGGGCTGCTCAGGGAGATCAGTGTCACACCCATCTACACCTCACAGTCAAACACCTCATGGCACAGGAAACTCCTTGGGTGCAGAAACGAGTGACAAAGTGGCACCACTGCCCCTGACAGCAGTTAAGGGACACTGTCCTGTGAAATTCCTCGTTGCCTCCCTAGCATCTCTCCTCTCCACCGCGCTGAAAGCCGAGGGGTCACAGCAGAAAGAGGCAGACCCTGAACCACAATGCTTTCCCAGAGGCTGGGCATGGTGAGCCACAGGGGGCATCAGGAGCTCTGATACTGATGCAGACAGGAAGTTGAATCCCAGGTACTGGGGACCATATGCGCAGCTCCGAGCAGGGTGAGCAGGTCCTAAGTTGGTTGGCACATCAACAGGTACCACTGTTGCCAGAGCCACTGCTCCAACTCTAGTGTCTGCACCTTGGAGAACAGTACCTACTGCCTCTGCTTGGCAATGCCTGGCAGCAGTGCAGGGCCCCACAGGCTCAGCTCTGGCCTGCTCCCGACCGATGCTGGGGAGGCAGGAACATGGGGAGGGGCTTAGGGCTGGGGCCAGGGCCAGGGCCGAAGTTGGGCCGACTGCATCTGAGGTGCTGGAGGTTCCCACCCCTTCAGCTGGCGCTGGGCTGCACTGCCTAACTACAGTGCTACAGGCTTTGTTGGGGGGGAGGCTGTCCATGGTGCTGCCCAGAGCAGGCTGCAAATGCATTAAGGAGCCTTAAGGCATGCACATGTAGATGCACACCTAAATTGTCTTAGTGCACCTTAGGCTAAGGTGCATTATGTTTAGGCATGTGAAATTCGCGTGTAGACATGCCTACTGACTACGTGTCTGAAAAATAGGACTGCATATAAAACTGTGCCCCAACTATTGTAAGCCGATCCACCTCAGCCTCTTACAGTTATATTCCTCATTATGAGGAACATCATGTACACCATTCTCAGCTCCAACTGCAGTATTTCAAAGGCACAAGGAAACTTGTATAACAATAAATAGTCCTCTCCCTGTTCTAACTCATCATACCTGTCTCTTTTCTGTTAAATACAGAATGTAATTATTTTAATAAATTCTCCTTGGGTAACATTGTTCTCTTCCATATTGTATTGCAGTGTTATGGAATTATTTCTATGAAGTCCTGCTACCAAAATATGTCGTGGCAAGAAATGGTGTCAATGTAATCAGTGGCCCTGTGTTTGATTATGATTACAATGGGATCTATGATGTCCCAGAAAAAGTGAAAAGGTGAGACTTTTCTCTTTTAATAATGCATCTTTCCTTTCCTTTTTTAATTATGAAGGTAGTACTGTGCAGGGAGAAAATTAGAGAGGCCAAGGTATGATCTGAGATGCAACTGGCAAGGAACATAAAAGTCAATTATAAGGATTCTATAGGTATTTTAAAAATAACAGAAGACCAAAGAAGCCATAGATGCTTTAGCATAAAGAAGGCAGGTTTGTTACAGAGGATGCAGAGAGGCCTGAAGTATTTATCACAGATAGGTTCAGGTGCCAGATGACAAGCACTGGGCAGAAAAGATGGGGAAAGAGACAAACAGTCTAAAGTAGTGGCTGAATAGGGAAAAAATTACCTAGAGAAGCTAGATATTTCAGGTTGGCATGGCCAGATGGGGTTCTTCCTAGAGTACTGAAGAAATTAACTGAGGTCATTTGAGAACCATTGGCTATCCTCTTTGAGAACATATGGAGGTTGGATGAGGTCCTGGATAGTTGTAAAGGGTCAAATATAGTGCTCATCTCTAAGAAGGAAAAGAAGGAGGATCCAGGGAATTACAGAGTAGTCAGCCCAATTTTGATACCTGGAAAGGTCATAAAGCAAGTTCTCAAGGACTCTACTGTGAAGCACCTAGAGGAGAAAAAGCTGATCAGGAAAATCCAGCATAGATTCACCAAGAACAAGTCATGTCTGACCAACCTGATTTCCTTCTATGATAGAGTGACAGTCTCTGTGAATAAGGGAAGAGCAATGGATGTAATATAACTTGACTTTAGCGAAACTTGACAAGCTAAGGAAATCCAGACCAGATAAAAGTACTGTAAGGTGGATACATAACTAGTTGGATCATCATGCTCAACCAGAGTTTATCAATGGCTCAATGCCTAGTTGGGAGGAGGTATCAAATGGGGTTCCCCAGGAGTCTGTCATGGGTCTGGTTTGGTGTTATTTAACATCTTTGTTTCATGATTTGGATGATGGTATTGAGCACATGCTTAGTAAATTTTCATATGACACCAAGTTAGGTAGAGTTGCAGATACTCTCTGTAGGGTAGGGATAAGACACAGACAGACCTGGAGAGACTAGAAAAAATGGTCCAAAATCAATCAGATGAAATTCAACAAGGATGAGTGCAAAGTCCTGCACTTGGGATGGAATGCTTGCATGCACAAATACAGACTGGGGAATGACTGGCTAGGCCGTGGTATTGCAGAGAAGAACCTGGAATTTACAGGTGACTATCAGCTGAATATGAGCCAACAGTGTGCTCTTGTTGGAAAAAAAATGCCAACATCATACTGAGTTGTATTAACAGGAGTGTTAATCAAAGGGAAGTTATTTTTCCTTTATATTTGTCACCTGCTGTACTGTGTCCAGTTTTGGGCCCTTGATTTCAAGAAAGATGTGAATATATTGAAAAGAGTCCCAGCAGAGTGTGACAAAAATTATTAGAGGCCTTAGAAGCATGAGCTATGAGGAAAGGCTAAAAGAACCAAGGTTATTCAGCCTGGAGAAGTGATGACTAAAGACAATGGTCTTCAAATGTGTGAAGGGAGTTCATAAAGAGGATGGAGATGACCTTTTCTCTGTGGCTTTAGGAGACAGGACTAGGAGCAATGACCTTGAGATTCAGCAGGGGAAATTAGGTTGGAAATTATGAAGAATGTTCTGACTATGAAGGTGGTCAAGCATTGAAACAAGCTAGGGAGGTTGTGGAATCTCTATCCCTAGAAATTTTCAAGACCAGGTTAGGGACACTTGTTTGGGATAGTTTAGTTAAGCATGATCCTGCCTTGAGCAGGGGACTGGACCAGATCAGGGGCAATGCGTAGGGGTTGCACACGGGTGCACGTGCAACCCCTGAGTAAGGTGATGCAACCCCTGCAGCAGGCAGTTGCCGCTTGCCACCTCATTGCCAGCACCACCGGTGGCACCTGCGGGCAGTCCACAATTGCTGCTGGCCACTGCCAACTTTGCTGGCAGTGCCTGTGGGTGGTTGTTGACTCCTGGTAGGCGTTTGCCCCATCCACCGCCAACAGTGTCAGTGGCATCTGTGGGAGCTCCCAGTTTACCGCCACTGAGCTCCCACTGCTGCTGCCATGCTCCAATCACTGCCACCGTGCTCCTGCCACTACCAGTACAGCCATGCACCCCCAGCTGCCAGTGGCACATGCCATTCATGGACTAGATGACCTAATGAAATGCTTTCCCACCATACTTGTGTATGATACTGTGCTTCTGATGATTTCAAAGTAACTATGTAGTGCTTACTAAAGAAAAATATTCCAAAGGTGGGCTCCTGGCAGAATACATCAAGCAGATTGATAGGTAGTCAGATGGCTCCAAACACATAAATGACAGTAAAGCTAATACGTAAAGAAAACAGAAAATAAAATTAAAAAAATAAACCTATATATATGCAGTCATTCTATCTGAAAGTGAAGTACAAAGCAGAGCTGTTGCAGCTGGATGAATAGGAGTTCATGATGTTACCTCCAGAACTGGAGAAGTGAGAGCAGTAGAAACGCATAGCATTCTTGGTATCTTGATTGTTTCTTCATTCAGAATAACTAACAATGCTTTACTACTAGGCTTTTCTGCTAAAGTATGCTGCCTTCTTGACAAAATTGGTTCAAGCTAACAGATTGACAATGGGGCCCATGAAATCCACCTGAGCTCTAAACTCTACCAAAAATCTACTTTAGAGTCTTCCATATTTTTGTAATAAATCTAGGCTTTTCCACTTCTTGTATCTTCAAGTCATCCAGTAAGTCATGCTTTGCTTTTAAGATAGCAGTCTTGAATGTCCATCAAAATATGCTTCTCAAGGTTTCTCTGTGCTAAGTGGTTGGATAAGTTAGAAAAATATGCTTGCTAAAGCATACCATTTGCTGGTGTCTTTTATCCTTTGCACAACTATAATTTATGTCTAAAACAACCACCTGTTTGCATTTCAGGCAACCAGGGAATTCAGAAGTTCTGATTCCAACTCACTACTACATTGTGCTGACAAGTTGTAAAAATATTTCACAGACACCTCTGGAGTGTGAGGGGGCTCTAGATGCCTTATCCTTCATCATACCTCACAGAGAAGACAACAGTGAAAGCTGTGCAGTAAGTAATTTCTGTTTAGCCCAGCATACACGACGGGTAGCTCGAAATATTAATTTTGGAAGCAAAAATTGAGAATGGAGATATAGCAGCCATAATTTCCTTCTCACATGCACTAGATTCATTTGAAATTCCAGCCTGCATGATGTCTGTTTGCACATCTTGATTCATCCTGCTCACAAAAAATAGCATAGGTCCATGGTGGGCTCAATACCAATACAGAATCCTTTCATCTTCCACAAGGGTATTCATGAAGTACATGGCAGTAGTTGTATCATCACTTTAGGAACAAAACATTTGAATTCATTCCTATCTGGGCGATTGGCCAATTCAAGAGGGCACACATTGGTGCTGGGGCATGTGACTACCTATGAATGGAATGCATAGAAACAACACATAAAAAAGAACATACATTAGTGCCCAGTTTTCCTGCCTGTTTATTAGGTAGGTTGGCAGTAGTCAACAACCCAGGACAAAGCATGCAATATGTATATCTCCTTCCTTCCATAACTCAGAGTTACTCAAATGTACCTTTTGGTGGTATTACCACCAGATGTGCAGATAAAGGCACAATAGGATCTGATGGGTGATGTATGAATGTGCATGGTAGGAGATGTAATTGTAGAATCAAACATCAGATGCCATCATACCTTACTGTTAGTGTTCCGCCTGAACTAGAAAGTAGCAAATTCTTGGGGCTGGGAATCTGCAGCTGATGGGCTCACAGCTTCTGGGGTGCACCTTGCACTCCCACAGCTGGGTGCTTGCATGTGCATGGTGTGCATCTGTGGCTGTGAGCCCCATCAGCTGAGATCCCCATCTGATGGGGATTCCTAGCCAGGAGGGCACATCTGGCCACACATTCAATTAATGGCATGATAGGAACCAGCCACAAAGACATCATGCATTTTTTGTGAAATATAAAACTTTGTGGCTTATTCCTTCTTTTATGACACCATTAATTACTTTTAATGTGTGGCTGGGTTACAACTTAATAGATTACAACCGGTTAATCACATCTTAAGTGTAGCATGTAGCATGGGTCACAGAAACACAGCTGATAAATAAAGGACTTGCTCCTGTGCTCCTTGCTTATCCCAGTCTTCCATTAAGATCATCCTCAAGAAAGCAATACCAGGTGATACATTTAGCTAAACTGGTAAATAGTTCAGCAAGAATTTTTTGGGTGATTTTGTTATTGGACCAACTGTATGGTTGGTAGAGATACAGTTGGTTTAATAAAAGATTTCAGGCTATCACCCCAAAACCCTTGCTTTATGCATATTTCCTGGACCATCATGGCCATAACAATGTTTAATATCCTCTGTTTTCTCCAATTGTTGGTGAGGCTGTCACAGATCACTGCTATATGCCTCTACCATATAGCCTTCTGTTACCATATAATGTGTTTTATCCTGGAACAACAGAATCACTGGTCAGAAAATCTCTAATTTTTTTCTTTGTTTTCCTTCCCCAACAGAGTGGTAAATCTGCATCTTTGTGGGCCGAAGAGAGAATGAAGTTTCATACAGCTCGGATCAGAGATGTGGAACTTCTTACTGGCCTCAGCTTCCATCAAGACAGAAAACAACCTGTATCTGATATTTTGCAGTTAAAAATATATTTACCAACTTTTGATAAGGTGTAAGTCTTTCTATGAAATGATTCTGCCCATTTTGCAAAGGATTTGTAAATAGACTGTTTTACTTACAGATTTTTAAAAAATGATTTGGAACACTTATTCAGAGCTATTGGCCAAAGCATGAGAAGAATCTATGCTACACTTGTATCTCAGGGACACTGGATGGACTACATACAACACAGGAAAGCAGATCCTGTTGAATTTTATTCCTCCACTTGACTGTGGTAGACATATGTCCATTGCTAAAGCATTCTACCGGCATTGGTAATTTATATTTCAAGACACTGAGAAGAACAGTAATTTGACCTTTTAAAAACATTGGAGAAGCTTATGAGGGAGGAGTGCTGATCAAAACTGTGCTTAAAAATGGGGGTTATTGGCACATGTTTTAACTTTTGGGAACTCATTGCAATCCATCTTAGTGTTGTTCACTCAACAAAAACTCCTTTCAACTTGGCTTCTCCTGGGAGGGTGAAGGTTTTGTGGATTAGATTTTGATCATTGTGCCATTTAAAATTTAATGTGATAATGCACTGCATAAAGCTATATTGTTGTAATGCCACCCATCTCCCACAGCAGGGATGGAGACCAAAACCATCAGCACCATAAGATAGACCTCTAACTAGTGAAGTAACTCTGATAGCAGTTAGCATTTGGAGGTGCTATATCTCTAGCGGAGGAGGCAGTAAAGAAGACTGCAATACACAGTTTGCTTCTGCAATATACATTTTGCCTCTGCATTGTATATACATCCGTAAAAAAGGAGGGAGGTGCTGCTTCAGAATAACTGAATAATAATACAAATGAATAATAATAATAAAATAGAATCCAAGGAAAATTTTACAAAATTATCATCGTGCTGCAAATGACACCAGGAATTTGATTAAAACATTAACCTTCTTAGAGATGTCCAGCTGTTTGGCAGCTTTGGTGAATTATTTTGTCATTTCACATTTTGAGGTCAACATTATTTCTAGCTGATCCAAATTCCTGCTCACATAAGAAATATGTATCTGGCATGCAGATACCGCCAGATGCAGAACAGTAAAGGCAGGCAGCCAGCAGTACTGGAAGCTATACTGCCATAGAAGAAGCAGTCAGGTGGTACTAAGAGGGCCAATAATTCCTCCCCTTTAGGCCATGTGCCATCACCTCCAAAATACTCCCACTCCGTCTAGAGATGATGAGCCAAGGTGAGCTCTACAGTGCATAGGATTTGGTATAGTCATTGATTGATGCATTTTTACTTGTTTTGTAAAAAAAAAAAAGAACAAAAAGGATCTCACACAAATTGTGTTTAGAGAATGTAAATCCCGTGACAGGGCAGTAGAAAAATGCATGTATATGTTGATTTATCCTAGAGATGTTGGAGACCTGATCTTAGCCCACAGAAGTCAATGGAATTATTTCCATTAACTTCAGCTAAATTGAATTGGAGCCTGGGGCAATCTTTCTCTTAACCAGGTGTATTTCTGTTACAAGCACAACATTTTTCCAAAGTAGTTTCAGTGTGTGAAGTATGAGCGTCCTACAGCAACGTCAGATCCTGACATGACTATGATAGCATTTTTCAATGCAACAGCTTTGTAACAACAATTTTGACAATTAAAAATATCAGAAAATGGTGTGCTGTTCATTTCCTTTTCTTGCATTAGGCGATGGATTTTCTAGTGTAGCAGGGTAGATTACATCAGGGTAGCAGTAGGGTCAGGTTACATCAGTCTATGCTTCATTTCTTTAAAACAAAGTATGTTTCAAGCTTTCTGAGGATGTGTCTCCACAAGGATGAAGGCAACGCTTTTGAAACATGCACCCCATCCTTTATTCTCAGCTGGATAAGCTTCTGGTTATGAAGATATGATTGAAAACATGACCACGCTGGAGCTAATGCAATGGTTTTGACTCAGGCAGCAGCTACTTTGGTAAGAAATGTCCACATATGTCAAAGAAGACAGCTCCAAGCCCTGCTGTTCTCTGGAGCCGCTGCACAGGTACACAGTTCAACTCAGTCACCCAAGAAGATAGGTTCCCTGCTATGTATACCATCACCTATCATCTTTTTTCCTACAGCTTTTGGGGGAGATGAGAATTACTGCTGTTCCTAGGCCACTTCTACCACTTGTTGGGAATAAAAAGGGCTCCTAATTTTAACTTTTGTCTCTCTGTAAAGAGAAGGATCACCAAATTCCTGTCTACACATTGCTTGTTGCTACTTGTCTGGGAAAAGAGGCTGTCCCTTTTACTGACTGTCCAGGGAATGAAGCTTGCTTAAAGAGAAATAGTATCAATTATTCCAGAAACACAGCAAGCAGCTCCTGAGTGGTTAGTAGGGCTGTGCGAAGCTGTGGTCACTGATTCAATTCGGAGGAGATTCGGCCCGATTCGGGGACCGAATCTCTGAATCTGAATTGAATTAGGAGACCAATTAAAAGCTCCAAATCAATTCAAAGTATCTGAATTGATTCAGAAAAGCTTCAGAAAAGATCAGCCACTTCAGAGATTTGACCATAGATTAAACAGGCATTAGTAGGGCTGTGCGAAGCTGTGGTCACTGATTCAATTCGGAGGAGATTCGGCCCGATTCGGGGACCGAATCTCTGAATCTGAATTGAATTAGGAGACCAATTAAAAGCTCCAAATCAATTCAAAGTATCTGAATTGATTCAGAAAAGCTTCAGAAAAGATCAGCCACTTCAGAGATTTGACCATAGATTAAACAGGCAGCTCACAGAGCCCTCCCATGCAGCATGGGACAGTGGGGATTGCCCCCTCACCCCACTTGGCACCCACGTGGCAGCTGCCCTTGGGGCAGCTCCACGTGTCAGCTGGGGCAGCTCCATCATTGCTCAGCCCCAGCAGCCCCAGCTCTCAGGCAGCATGCAGTGCCCTGCCGAGCCACGCTGCACACGTGCCATGGGGCAGCTGCCATGTGGGTGCCAGGCAGGGGGGGGGTAATCCCTGCTGCCCCCCACTGCCCTGAATTGCACAGAGGGGTTCTTCCACAAGCACCTAGAGGCTCCATTTGCCACTGCTGCAGCCGGGATGTGTGGGGCTTTTTTTTTTTTAAGTGCCGGGACTAATGTTGGGCTGGGCAGGGCAGCAATGGGGGCTTGTCCTGGCATTCACCCCAGCTTTGCCTGCCTCTTCCTAGCTGATCCACATCACTGAATCTCTCTGAATCAGTGCCAAATCTTCCGAAGCCAATTCAGCTGAATTGATTCAGGACGATCCAGATCTCCAAATCGAATCACTGTCCTCCAAATTGGCCAAATCTAAATTGAATGCTTTCCTATTTGCACTGGCCTAGTGGTTGGCCCATGTCACTCCCAGATGCGCATGGAGGAAAAGCCACTGCATTGAACCTGAGGCATGGAATCTCTTGCTGAGTGTGCATACTGAATTGCTTTACTCCAGCCCTCCTTGCTATAGAGAAAAGGCATGTTTAGGTGCTAGGGACTGTTAATCACCCCTAAATTCAGCACCATGGTTAATGTAGTTTAGGCTTAATCCTGGGCGACTGGTAGGGGGTGCATGGGGGTGCTCGTGCCCCCCTGAAGGGGCCAGTGCCCCCCCGACAGCCAACACTGATGCTGTCGGTAGGGCTGGTGCCCCATTGACCGCTTCTGTGGGTGCCTCCCCCAGATTGAGGAGGCACCAGTCACTCACGGCCCTAGTTGTGTTGTACACAAAGATGATCTGAGCAGGGTGCAGGGCCCAGGACAAATCAGCCTGTGTGGGGCCCTACCCCTGCATGCAAGAAAACCAGTGGCAGATTCGGCAGCGGGGGGGACGGGGTGCCGAGCGACCGGGTGTGAAGCCAGTGGCAGCGCGAAGTTGTCACAGCCATTCTGCCCAGGTCTGTGGGGCCCCCCACAACACAGGGCCCAGGGCAGTTTCCCTGATTCGCCACACCCCCAGGTACGGCCCTGTTTGTACAAACAAGTTTCATATTGTAGGTTCATACTTCCTGCCACAGACCATAGTTCACTTTGGGATGTTTGTCAGCTTGGAAAACTTTTATAGTCGCAGAAAGTCCACAAGCTTTTAAACTCTGAACAATAAAAGGTGGTGTAAAATAAGTCGCTGTTGTAAATACAGCTCTGCAGGGAAGTAGTTTTCTGTTTCACAGAGAAAAAAAATAACATTGGTTGCCAAATGGAAAAGCTTAAACCTCTTCCTTATGTTGTTAATGTCCTCGTGCTCCAGAGAGAAAGGGTGAACCTCGTCTGGACTGTGACCTTTTACTTACTCCTTCTGGGCCTCTGTTCTACATCTGTAAATTGGAGATGATCTTTTTTTCAAAGGATGTATACACTAGTATCTGTGAGGTGTTCAGATACAAGATGATGAACTCAAAAAAATAGCTGCAGAAATGTATGTGAAGATGTCAAATTGGTCCAACAGCTGCCTGTTCTTACATGGTTAGGGTTTCTCGTGTTCATTCAAGGGTTTCTTTTGAGGCCAGGTGGGGCAAAATGAAAGGATGCCAAAAGTAATGTATGCCTGACTGAAGATATGAGGGAAGCTTTGGATGTAATACCACCCTCAACCTGACAATCTAGCAGATGGCCTGCAGGTGTCATCTGCTGTGGACTTGGGATATTTTCTGTTAGAAGGGGTAGATCCACAGATGTCAGAAAGGGTCATAATTCCCTTGACTAAATTCAGTGTGTGAAGAATTACTATGAGTTACAGCAGCATGGCATTCTGATTTGACTTCAATAGCATTATCCACTCTAAATACTTTGTAAGAACTTTGACAAATAAAAACATCAGAAGACTTATGATTTTTTTATTTCCTTTTGGTTTTTTTGTGCCCAACACCTTGTTCTCTCTTCCAAGAAAAATAGGGTAGGTTGCTGGGCAGCTATTGCTCTATAGATAAGCAAAAGAAAGTAACGCTTAAATAAAAGACTGTCTGAATCAAGATGTTTATAAAAAATACCCTGAGGTCCATGAGGTATTAACAACGCAAAGATCTAAAAGAAATGTTCTTTTTGAGTGATTTACCTTTGCAGACCTCCAAGAAAATAGTGATGCCAATTATTAAAATGTTTGATACATAAGGCTCAAAATAATGTTTTAAGAAACTGTTCAGGCTTCCTTTACCAGCCAGAAAAAGGCAAAACCCACTTGCCCAATCTACAGCATTTACCAGATCACCTCTCCTGGAACTCAAAATTTAATATCCAACTTGCAATGTTAAATCTGCTTCATTGCATATCTTGCTATAATTAAGGTTACCTGATCCTTCTAGCCATTACAGATTTCTTTAATTGTTTTTACCTTGACAAATTTATAAGGCTGACGATGTTGCCAGCCATTGAAGTTGAAATCCAGTATGTCAGGTATTAGTCTCAAGCAATTTTTCCCCTAAAATTTCAGCCAAAATAGCTCAGTTCTCCCCCCATCTCTCCCCGAAGAAGAGGCTAGGTTGTTTTTCCCCCTCATGTTAAAACATTCTGGATATATTTGAAATGCTCCAGTACACCTGTACTTTAAAACAGGAACTTAATATTGGGTATGAGGTTGCTTTTCCTCCAGTTATGTGTCAGCTGTCCCACTGAAAATCCACGCATGTTTAGGAAGTTATAAGCCTTTGAACATTCTCAACTTTCAACTACTCAGTACAGACTTACAATTCAGTAGCTAAAATTTCCAAAGATTTTTTTAATTGGGCATGCCTCGTTCCCTCACTTGTGACATAGAGCAGGTCCACGTAGAGCATGGCACTGGACTTGAGGGCAGAAAGTCTATTTATCCTGCTATTTTACCCAGGCAGAATGGAGGAAGACTTGCCTAATTGAAATGTAGAGTGACAGAAGTGAGACACAGCAGGGAGGGAAAGAAGTCAACTGAGGAAAGGAATCAGGTGAGATTGGGCTTTGAGTAGTGGGAGAAACTGGGACTTATATTGTCAGGGCAAGGAAACTGGAACTAGGAACTGGAAGAGCTGGGTGAGGAGGGTGGGACTGACAGCTGAGAATGGCATGAAAGCTGAGACTTGGGGAAGAAAGACAGATTGGAGAAGGAGTCAGGAAGGAACATTTGGACCTAGCTGGGCAAGAAGAATGGGACTTGGTGTGGGGAGGCAGAGACTTGGGAGTGTCAGGGAAGCCAGGACATTTTGTCGGATGGGGAAGAACACTAGGATGGTTAAACATGGAGACGGACTGAGATGCAAAGCAGAGTCTGGGACTGGCCATGTAAGGAGACTAGACCTGAGATAGATAGTAAGAGAAGGGAAAAGACATGATTGGGAGACAGGCAGGATGAATGGCTGACCTGACAATTTCAATTGGGACACTGGGGGACTAGGAGGAATGAAAAGAAAAGCATACTCTCCACTAAAATCTAGACTGGAACCCAATATTCTGAGTTGCCTTGTTCCTCTGCTGTCAGCAAATACTGAGAAAAATACTAACCCTCTTTGGTGTCAGTCCTCACAGGAGATGACAACTTACAATTGCTATCAGTTATTCCATTAGTTTAAGTAGCAGATAGTTGTGCAATGGTTCTAAAGCACCAGCATTGCTGATGACCTAGGTGGAGGTCCCTTATGCTTCGTGTAGACTGTCGAGGACTTCTTTGTTTAAAAAAACCAAAAGAACCCCCGCCCCCCCCG